TCTCCATGCAGGTTTGAAGTGTTGAGGATCAAAGCATAGTAACTGATGGTGATGACGATCCTGCAGAGACATTCAGAACAGTAAATTGTAATTGAAATTGAGATCAGGAAACACAAAATGCGAACCAAAAAGCCAATGTAAGAATTATCTTGTATATCCTACACTTTTTGATTTTCATTTGAGCATGGCCTGTGAATGAAGGTTTTACTGTCTTATGGTTTATGTAATGTAGGAGGAAATCGTAGACATACCACAGAATTGAACACAGTAACGTAATACAGAAGATATTGCAGCTGCTCAGGATGACCAAAATGTTGTATTTCTTATCTTTAACAGCCAATGCATCTTCAACCTGGGAAAAACAAGAAGGAAAGGTTCCAACAATTAAACATGAACAATTCAATCCGCAATATGTGTAAAGGAAACATGAGCCCTGCCATGCAGAGACATAGCATGATATTGTAGAATTGGATTATTCGTATACCTATACAGACTCTTAAGACAGTATGTGGTGTAATGAGTCACTTAACAAAACATGCTGAGCTGAAATGCAACACTGAGCAAGAGATCAAGGGAACAACGCTTTAAACAATAAAAACAATACATTACATTGCATTTTAAGATCTCTGAGGCACATATAATTAATGTGTATCACATGTTTAAACTTAAATCATAAACTCACCTCAGCTTGTGTAAAAATAGGCTCTGGAGGCTCTATGTTATTTTCCTTGGCAGCATTTCTCAGTATGGCCTCAGCCTCCTTGACATGTCCCCGAGCAAGCAGCCAGCGAGGAGACTCTGGGATTAACCTGGAGAGTTGAAACGTAGAGATACAATGATACAGACGAAAGCATCATATTTGCTGTGTACACCATCTAATTTCATAGATCACCAAGGTACTGGCCCCCATTTGGGACTCTCTCTCTTTTCTGAGTCTGGAGAGCAGAAAACACCCACTGTAACTGCACATGGTCAAACCTGCAGTCTTAGTAGGGATTTCCTTCCTGCACCTCCCCACTAGGGGCAGCAAGGAGCTCATTCCACACTTAAACTTAGACAAGCCCCACAAAGGTGAGATTTATACTATACAGGAAGCATTTTAAAACAGTATGATTTGTTTTTACAAGAGACAAGCGTTCCATTATTATGGTTAACTGATTGGTTTTGGCAAATGCATGTCTGCTTCACTTCTGACAAGGAGCAGTGCAGAGCCGCTTCTCCAAGATTTTCTAAGGGAGACGTCATTGTCTTTCATACAGCGGATGACACATTGCTAAAGAGTGAAACTAAAATAGAAACTACCATGGTATGATTTTCAGTTATGACTTAACTGTGTTAACTTATTCTTCTTAAGTGACCGAGCGCAAATAGACACGACCAAGCTTCCACCACCTCCTTGTTTTTTGTTTTGTTACTTTCTTGTGCAATCGGGCACTGGAAGTCTGTGAGGTTCCTACTTGCAAGTTCCTTTCCTGTATACTTATTTTTTGTACATCATCACAATAGTCAAAAAGCAAACCAACTGGTTGATTTTATTAGTTGATTACTCACAGTATTTATTGTCTGCAGCTCTCACCCCATCTTAACCAAACTTTAATCTTTACACTGAATAAACATCATTCAGCCGAGGAGCTCTCTAATGTGATACCCCCTTGATTGGCGCTTTAATGGGATTGGTTTGTTAAAGCTAAGCAGGAATCTTATCAGTATCACTGTATATTGGCCGACCTTACTGAGGGACACCACCAATTAAACACATTATGTGAATATTCTCACCACCACAGTGGGATGTAGATCAAGCCACAGGCTGCCATGGGTATCAGCAGCATCCGCCAATCACGGAGGAAGTAGGCCACTGCAGGCATTACCATGTACCCCACAGCTGAGGCCATAAAAACCCCAAGTGAGCAGAAGACCACTCGGGCTTTTGAGCTTAGAATTTCTGTACCTGTGGGTGTAATAAATGAAAGGAGAATTTGGCAAAAATAAACCTGACACTCAAATGTGTTTATTGCCCGTCATTTCCATTCAAGGCAAATTTCATTTGGGACCAGCAACCAAGAGCAAGAGAATATAACTTTTCAATTTGGAAGATTCTTAGAAATCAAGATCATATGCAACTAATTTGTATTAGCAAACAGCATTTTGGGAAATGTGTGATATCATTCAGATTATCTTCAATAAAATCGCTGATGCTGGCCCTTAGTATGGACATGTGCTTATAAGTTAAAATGTTTTCAAACAGCGCCTCTCAGAGCAGGATTATTGATTTACCCGTTACATTAAGTGCATCCTTAATGGATAACATACCCAGCACAAATGCAATGATATAGTTGGAGAATCCCCCAGCACCCACAAAGAAGAAAATTAAGGTGAAGATTTCCCAGCTTGGAGAGAATATCTGTGCTGTGATTGCCACAGTTTGAAGAACCATCATGATAAAGAGTGCTGGCTTCCTTCCATACCTGTATAGGAATGGTAGTTTAGTGATGAGAAAATTACATGTTTTTTTTTTAACAGCAACATTGGATAATTTGTTGAAAAAACAAATTGTGTACAGGACAGACCTGTCAGACATCTGGCCTGAGAAAAGTGCTCCCAGTAGCACACCAATGTAATGGATAGAGGTGGTGAGCGGACTCTTGTACCCATTCTCACATACCAAGTCCCACTGTGAAATCAGTCAGTGCAGTTAGAATGAGAAGGAAATGATTGATTATATTAACCAAGCAAAGTTATTTGGTCATTACAGCCATAAGGTTTCATGTTAAGAAATGTTGTTTTATTTTTGTTTTTGTGTTTTTTTTTGTGAAATGCTATATGACTAATTTTACTTAACAACTTTTTTCTTTTAGTTAAAACTATTTTTTTTTTTTTAAATTATTTAATGAGAGAATACTGAGAATAAACAAGCAATAATTGTGTAGGATTCACTTAATGAATGTTTAGCCTTTGACCTTGCTTAGTGTTATTGTAACTAAAGTGCTGTCATAGGCACTATAGTTTATTTAGTTATGGACTTTGCAAACATACTACAGTGAAGTCAATGTCTGTCTGTCTGTCTGTCTGTCTGAAAAAAGGGTGACACAGAGAACTGATTAAAATACTATTAGATTATGCTGATTATCTCATAGACAAAACTAAGTTGCCTCCAGGCATGTGTTGGTTTATTTTTTGTGTTAGTTTATTTATTAAATTTCAGCTCCTTAAAACTAGGCATAGTTACAAAAAAGCTACTAAATACAATTTCTATGTGAAAACCATAAAAACATCTTTGAAGGAAAGGTAACTGATGACTTAACACTCACCTCGGTGACAATGGTTGACTGGTAGATTGTTTTGCTGTATGTCCATCCATCCAGACAACTCTCCAAAGGAATTTCACTCACATTCACATCCACATATGGGATGATTTCATTTTCAGAGTAGTTCCTGACAATTTCCAGGTTAAGCCTAGTGCAGGAGCTACGCTTTGTAATGCCATCAACTGATTCCGACGGAATTGTCACATTTCTCCATGTCTCACTGATGCTATAGTTTTCAGGGATATAGCACTCATGAGGTGGCGTATCACCTACAAATACTATGTAGATGCCAATAAAACCATTCGGGAGGATGCTGACTGCCAGTGCTAAAAAAATCCTTAGCTGAAAAGGTCCCCAAGATCCAAGGAAAGACGTGATGCTGTCATAGTCTCTATTTTTTAAATTGCCCATTACGTCACCAAAACCCTTGATATTTAAAAAAAAAAAAAAAAGTGAGGAGATAAAACTCAAGCAGAGACTTTGTCAATACTGGAAGGCATAAGAGAGTGTGCTCTCCTGCTTTACTTTTATACGCCTGCCTCACTGGTCTGGGAGGTTACTTAGTTACATACAGTGCTGTGAAAAAACTAAAACAACAAAACAAAAAGGCTTTACATCACTAATGGTTATGCATAATTTGTTTAACGTGCTATAAAATCCTTTGAAATATATATGATTTAGATATTTTCTATTTAACTAAACTATTAAGAAAAAGCATTGATTATATAAAATGTAAGGCAACATCAGTCAAGGAATCCTTGAAAAGGGAGTTAATCATTTTCAAGCAGGTAAAACAGTAATGAAGCTTGTCATTATCAATATCATATAGTGACATCTGACTTGTTTATTGCAGCTGGTTTATAAAGATAAAAAAGTTGGAACTCATTTCCTTAGGTGTTCATTTGTAGTCCTCCATAAACTATCATGGGTGACCAAAGTCCTGTTGTACAACAGCTTTAATCATAAGTGCAGTTTTGGCATAAAAATAATTAAATAAAGCTTGAAACATCAACATTTATAGATACCTTCATTTGTTAACAGTAGCACTTGTTTCCAACTCTGTTAAACACTGTTAATTTCTGGTTTGAATTCAACATAGCTGACACGTGTTTCAAAGCTCATTCCTGTGTGTATAGAACCTTTCAGGCATGTCACGTTACTTAAGGGAGTTTTAAATCAAAACGCAACTGGACTTGATTATTTGTCTGGGAAGACGTTTCACCTCTCATCCAAGAGGCTTCATCAGTTCGTTTACGCATCTGACCAGGCTGGGACTGGTCTAACTGTGTAACCAGTTGCGTTTTGATTTAAAACTCCTTTAGGATACCATGACCTGGACAAATGAGAATATGCACAGGCTCACGTTACTTAAGGTTGTCATACCGGTGCAGAGTGGAGGAGGCTTTAAGTGGTTGCAAATCATCAAGGCTGGAATGCCAGCTGCAGTTTTTAGATCTATATTCATTTGTCCACCTCTCCCATCTTACATCAGGTAAATTGTATTGTATGTAATGGGCTAGTGTTAGTAAGCTTTAGAGGTGCTGGCGGTTGGATTTAGTTTCTGTTGGACAGAGTCAATGTAGCTGTTTCCACCTGTTTGTAGTCTAAACTAAGAAAACCAGCTATGGGAGAGCAGACTATTGAAATATGAAAATATCTTTGTTAAAAGATGAAAACAACTCAGGCTGTGTTTTGGAAGGGTTCATATGTTCCATTTTTAATTAAATTCATTTTGTGATGAAAACTTAGGGACTAATCAGATTTATATGCATTTCAATGTTCATACAAAAAAAATCAAAGAAGTTCATTTTTCTCTTTGCAACGTTTCTAAAAAATATTTCTTGAATTACAAGCACCAACTGAGTAAAAAAATAGTTATTAAAAAAATGACAAAAACAAAAAAATAAAATAACAAAACAAAACAACAGTTCTTGGAAATGGACTTTTGCCTCCCCACTATACGTGTTTAATTTTCAGATTTCAAATTCATTCTTTCTCTCTCTCTCTCCGCCTCTCTCTCTCACTCTATGGAGTAAGTGTTTGCACATCAGATTTGTCCTCATGTTGTATAGGTGAGTTCCCCCTTCCTGCATATTTCTTCTTTTTGGGTCCACTACACAACCTGTAACCATCAAAAGAAAGGAATGTTGAAAATGGCAAATGAGTAACACAGATAGCATAGAAACATATGGGCAGTTGACTTATTTATATTTTCTATTTGTCTTCTTTTCTTTCATTGTGCTGTAAGTTATCACATATTTATTTTTGATCTTTCTATGTATGAAGATAGTCAATGTTAAGGTGTATAGTATCCTCTTTTTACTATGGAGCTAACAAAATAGAATAGGAAATGCATCATCACTTAATCAGCTCTTTAAGCTCTTTCCAAGACGAGTGCTCAAACCATTGTAAAATCTAAGTAGTTCATTAAGTCGTTATGTGACTGAGTTAGTGTGTTTATCTAATCTGTAACAATGTGTTAATGGTGACCTGAAAAATAGATGAACTACAGTAAACTGAGTGCACTGCACTCACCCCAAACATTCTTGCATCTGCTCCACTGTTTCTGGAAGATCTTTATTTAGAGTCTCTGGAAGGAAGAAGTTAACGACAGAAGAGGCAATTGTGAGACTTCCCATGAGGATGTAAGGCAGAACCTTATTATAGGTACCTGTAAATAACAAAGAAGAAGCAAAAATCCTACATTAGAAAATGAAAAAAACTGTTACTTATAGTAGAATATAGAAAACATTATGTTTCTTCATATCACTGATTTTAACCCAATGCAGACTTTATTGTTCTTTTAGATACATTGAGGATATCAATACAGCAAATTTGTGAGATACTGTGCTCAACCTCTACATACCTAAATAGATGACATAGGGAGCTGTGATACTGCCGATGCGTGCAGCAGAAGAACACATTCCCATGCCTACGTTCCTGAGTACAGTGGGGTAAATCTCAGCAGTGTAGATGTAGACGATGCTGAAGGCCATGGTGAAGCCAAACTTCCCAGTCATTTCCAGAGCCAGAGCAACAGACTGGAGGGCTGAGGAGGTGAGAGAGGAGATATCTGGAGTGATTTCTGAATACACTCCAAATTTACTAAAATGCTTATCTTTGGTACTTAAACAAAAAAGACAAAACTCTTTTAAATACTAGGCAAGTAACATGATCTGATTACTTCATCACACAAATTTGGAATTTGGAACCAAGTGTCACGTGAGCTTAGAGCTCACGTTATATATTATATGTTATACATTAATTACATACAGCCCTCCACTACACTGCACATGCTTTAAAGTATACTCTGAAACTGGATTAGTATAGAAAACGTAATGATTGCCAGTGTGGATTTGGAAACTGCTTTCGATGAATACAGTCCATGTGCAGATCTGAATTACACAATCAACAGCAAAAGCGATACTTAGCATGTGTTACAAAACAGCCTGCATATCTATTATTAAGCTGTCACATTTACATAACCAGCACCCACTTACATAAAGCCTACTTCTGGGAAACAGTCTGCCAGCCCTGTGACCAGCTGTATTTGTGCCACAGGTTAAACTTGTGCCCTTCTTAAGAAAGAATGACAGAGGTCAGAAAAGGAAGGTCACAAGGAACCTACCACTAGTGTTACTGGAATTTTGGGATATCTGTCTCTAAAATGTGTGCCTCCACTATATATACACTGGATGTTTCATTTGTAGTTCTCAAAAAATTAATAATGAAAATATTTATTTTATAATTTTGCTCAACTGTCTTTATAAATATTACACTGCCATGTGAATGAGAACACTCATCACCAATAGCTGTGGTGAGCACTGAGTCCATAAATGTTTTAACTGCATTATATGCCGTTAGAATGTATATCAGTGTGGGTGTCTGTTAGGTTGTCATACTGTCATTTTACATCATAAAAAGAAGGTCTTACTGTCAGGGATGAATTGGATGAGCAGAAGAACTCCTCCTCCAATGGCAAGGAATGATGACAGGAGTACTCTTCTTGGACATTTCTTTAGCAGCCAAGTAGAAACAACATAAGCAGGGACCTCAGTGGTCGCTGATAAAAAACAGTTCATGAAGGGATTTCCACTCAGGTTGGAGGTGTTCAGGGATAAACCAAAATACCCGATGTTTATTGCCATCCTGAAAAAGAAAAATGGTATTTATGAATATAAATATTTAATCTCATCTTCGCTGCTTGACATAGTTTTGGTAACTGTGAACAACCACTACTCAGAAAACACAACCACTCACCACAAAAGCAGACACATCAGTGTGATGCATCTGATGTTCCTGGATTTCAGAACATCAAGCATGGTATATGTCTTATTTGGAGGCATTGCCTGGTGCTAAAACCAAAGCAAACAATAGAATTCATGTGGTTACATTGTCAAGATTGCAGACAGAATATCTCAAATATGTTATGAGCAGATTCAACTTAGGCTTTGGTCATAACATGCAGAAAGTATACAATTATGTTTGATTCCAAATACTAAAAAAATGGTTTCAGGGTCAAGAAATACATTTAAAATCTAATTCTAAGAAACAGGAATAATGTTTTTCTCTGTGAGAGTACATTGGAGTATTGATATGTGGTCACTTGACAGGGAAATGTCAGACACTTCACTGTACCTTTGAACCAGCTTTCACTCAAACTAGGCAGACTAGGCATACATGAACTGGAAGAGGAAACCTCCCTTCAGCACGTAGGAGAAAACAATGAACTGTGACCCCACTGGTGGCAGGGAAAACTAAATGAGTAAAACATTGCAAAGTGGTCTCCACAGACACATTCAAACATTTTTTTTCCGAAACCATTATGACATCTATTCTGTTCCATAAAGACTCTATTTAGCGTTTCCATGTCTGAAAAAAACTCATTGTTAAAAACAATATGTGAACCTCACCTCAGATTTTTTAAAAATGACAGGCGGAGCTTCAACTTTGTTTTTCCTTGCAGCGTCTCTCACTATGACCTCAGCCTCTTTCACTCTTCCCTGGGTGATCAGCCACCGAGGAGACTCTGGGATAAACCTGCACAATACTTTTAGGTTAGTCACAATAGGTCAGCAAAATCAGAGGATTTTGTTTGCTGTTAAACCATGGATGCTCACTATTCATGCATAAAATATAGAAATCGATAAGCATTATGCCTAACGTACCACCAGAGAGGGATGTACACCACAGCAGTCGCGGACAGGACAGCAAGCAGTGTCCTCCATTCTCTGATGCCATATGCAATCCAGGGTAGTGTCATATACCCAATGCAATAGAAAAGAAAGGCCCCAAGAGTTGTGAACAGCACTCGCATAGTCTTGCTCAACACCTCTGTTCCTGTCCAAGACAAAAAAAAAAAAGTCACATAAATCATCTGTGTGTGCAGCTGACAAAACCAAACACAGGGTGAGGAGTATTTTACAATTCATACCTAGCACAAATGCTGATATATAGATGGATATCTGGGAGGCTCCAACAAAGAGGAACATGATACAGAACATTCTCCATGAGTGAGAGAAGGACTGAAGCAGGACCGAGACACACTGGGCAGCAAGAGAGATGAAAACAACCTTCTTCCTCCCAAATCTGAATGGAAAAAAAATGTATCATTGACAGTGATTCAAAGACAGAAACTATAATGGCAGTGACATGTTTCGAGTTTTTTTTTTTTTATGGTCAAGCGGAGGACTGTTCTTGACAGTAAGTTGATCAGTTGATCATATAAAGGCTAGCAAAAATCTCCTTTTGTTTAACATGAACTTACACCTGCAAACTCAATGATGTCCTCCAACATCTACCATGCAGTTCAAATGTTGCTCTGAAATGTTCTGTGTGACAGTAACGGTGTCCATGCAGCTCCCCAATAAAGACAAGTTGCATGTATTGTTTCCTTGTAGAATGCCCTCACAAGACACTGTGACCTTGACCTTTCCGCTATTCTCTCTAAACACTACAGATGGATATGTCGCTTGACCCCTCAAAGAGGGAATGTTAGGAGAGACTAAATGAGCAGTACTCTCCTGAACTGATGGCAACATGCAGTGATACTCTTTAATAGCTTTATTGTAATGCTTAAAATCCTAATGTGACACAATAATTAAAAAAGCTCTACAAACCTCAAAGCCCCTCACCCTTAGCCTCCCCCATTTCCCATCCATTGAGTCCAGAGTTTTCACAGCTGCAAAGTGTTCCTCACCGCTGTGTCCTGAGCCGCATGCTTTTCTACAACTCAAGCTACAGGACACTGAAGTCCGTCAGAGCTGAACTCTTAAAACAACTAATATCAAAAACTCCACAAAGACTCACAAGACCCCGACAAAATCGCACCTGTCAGGTTCAACAACTCTACACTAACGTCTAACAGCTGCTTGTCTTCCAGACCAAGGTAATGTGCATGTGGTTTCTGTTGACAGGAAGCAAAACCAGTGCAATCCAAGACATCCCTGAAATAAATCAGTCTTGTAACTAAGGAATTAAACAAGTATTTAGGCACAATTAAATTTTAAATCCAAACAAATTACTATTACTAAAAGCAGCTGCAGTCCTGGTGAGGACGTGATTGTGTGGCAACAGTTTCAAACTTTTCTTATTAACAATCATTTTAGAGGACATTTAGAAGAAAGACTGGCTCCAGCCCCCCGCAAGCCTCCAAGGACAAGCAGTATAGCTAATGGATGGATGGATTTAGAAGACGTTCAAAGAATTCCTATCCTCTGGCTACAGATTTTTAGCATCATCCACCACCATTATTGTTTCACCAATTTGCCCTCAGGTTGTGGAGCCTCTTGTGGTAAACTAATCCTGTCTGAATGTCTTTCTGTCCTTCCAGACCGCTCCCTAAGGACAAGAGCATTTTCATATTTGTGTACCGTCACTGTCCGAATGGCAATGGTAAAGATTTCAGTGGAGGAGACTTCTTAGCTTAGTGGAAACAAGTCCTCTCTTGGAGAAAATGTCAACTTCAACAGTAGATGGGGCTGTTGTTACAATAATGACAACTAATCAAGTCCAAGTCTCCTCTCATTCACTACAGTGTGCTATCCTCACTTTGTAAAACCCAATCCACATATAAGTCAGCTATTAATTTTCTATTTCTATGAGCGTTCTCTTAAGACTTCAACTTTGAAGAGAATTTCTTCAAAGATGAGATAAAATAAACACACATATGTAGCAAGTTTCATTTTGGAATATAATAATGTAGAGTTCATTTAGTGGAATCTCACAGATCATTAAGGATGAAATACCTGTCAGAGAGCTGTCCTGAGATCAAGGATCCAACAAGGTATCCAACAAACAGAGTTGATGATGCGAAGGGAACTTTCCACTGGTTGTCACAAACAAGATCCCACTGTGAAAAGACGTAAATTACATACATATTTCAAACAAACAAAAAAAAAAGAACATAGGCAACTGACAACTTTCATCACCAACATCTTATACAGAAAACACATGCGCATTCATACTGACCTCAGTGACAATGTTGGACTGGTAGATTTCTTTGCTGTAGTTCCATCCATTTAAACATCCCTCCTGCTCCAGGTTAGTGAGGTTGACATCCCTTCCAGGAATGAATCCTTCAGCAGAGAGGTTTCTAACCACATCCAGCCTGTATCTGCTGCACTGGCTCTGCACCTCTTCACCATCCACTATCGTAAAAGGAATGATGGCATTTCTCCACTCCTCAGTCAAGTTGACGTCTGGAATGAGACAGTGGTGTTTCGGAGCCGCTCCAACAAAGACGATGTAAAGCCCGTTGAATCCAGTTGAGACAAAAACTGTGTTTAGGAGGAAGAATGTGGTCCAGAAGTAAGGACCAGTCTGTCCGAGGAATGCAGTGTCTTCATCATAGTCTCCCATTCTTTATAAAAAAAAATACCTCCCTGGTCTTGAGGGAGAAAAAAGTCCTCTGAAATTCCTCAGACTATGAGACGTTGTATCCCTCTTAAAGTCTTCAGCTTAGTACCAGAGTGGTGGGGTTGAGCTCTCTGTGGGGCAGAGTGAGCTGGTCCCTCAGCGGGACGGAGTCACAATTCAAAAACTTCTGTTTCTAGTCCTGAGAGCATTAAACCTCCTTTCTAGGGGACAACTTTTACGTCCCGGAATTCCTCCCAGTCGGACTGCTGGATACACCGTCTCAGTTTATGAGCAGACAGGAAAACTATTTATCTGAGATTAGTGAATGAGACATCTCTCACCCGCTGATTAGATTTTCTAAAAGTGAAATGATCAAAAGCTTCAGAATGGCCAGTCTACCCACCCAGCCCCCGCACCACTGTGGTCAAAGTGGTATTTTCTCTAAACAACATTCCACACTTTTAAATACCCCAAAGAAGTGCACGTGCCTGTACTCTAAATGTTGCTAAGTAGCATTAAGACTCCCACTGGACTATTTTTAAGCCTCACTGCAGAGTCAAGCAGAAATTATAACAAATCTCTATGTTGTCTTGAAATTATATAATAAATATGTTAATTTACTTATATTTAGAATAAACTGAGTGTGAGTGTGGCAAATACAAAAAACTACATTTAATTTTACAGTAATGCATTTTTAGTCTGTTGCTTAAACATGTTCCCTGCATGCTTATTGTGTATACTGATAATCACATGAATATTTCCTGAATCAACTATAGATTTTGATCTAATGTGAATGAACTGCAAATGGTTAATGGGCTGTTTTTGACCACTCAGAAGTACTGCGCAAAAGCCACATTCACAGATCTCTTTTTTTTTTCTAGACATACAGCGCTTTTACACTCACTCACACGCTGATGACACATCGGGTGCAATTTGGAATTCTGTATATTTCCCAAGGACACTTTGACATGCAGACTGGAGGATCATCATGTTTCAGTCTTCTTTTCTCAGCGTACAATAATTATTGAGTAAAGGTTTTACTCTGATGTGTTTGAACATTATTTCTGTCACATTTTTTAAGGTCTTCATTAGACCTTGAGAACAAGGCAAAGGTGGAAAGCCATCACTCCTCCTACACTGAGAGAGGATTGCTGTATTTCACAATGAAAGACAATTGGATAAGATTTCACTTGAACTGTATAGCTCGCAGTATTAAGGTGAATTAGGTGAATTAGTTTCTAACAAGTGCTAGCCCAGTCTACTGCAACACAGACATCAGAACCAAACTTCAGTCAAATTTTCAGTTGTTTTCCCACTGACTGTTTTCTGTCTGGTTCCTGACTTTCTTTTTCTCTTTTGGTCAGCTTTTAATTTTGTCTTAATTTCATGTTTGAATTTAATGTTTGCCCTTAGTCCTCAGCATCTGCAATAACCTGTGGAAACAAACAAGAAGAGAGGGCCCCCCCCTCAATGGCTCTAAAATTGTTTTAGATACCAAAATAGTCTGACAGACTATTAATTCCACCAATTTATAATGCAAGTAATGTATTTATGTATTTATATAATGTATATTTAAAAAATTGTAGGTAAAAGGAAACTTCTAATGTCAGGCTTTTTAGGGCCCTCTTCATGTCGCAGCACTTGGTTCCATTATTCCCCTTTACTACTACGCACTTGGTGATACTATCAACCAGTTTCATCAGCACCTACATGAAGATCCTTTCATGAAGATAATCAGAGATCTTTCAGCTGAGCAACAGGATGCATCCATTTGCAAGGCTGTGATAAGGTGTCTCCACACACAGTGGTGATTAAGGACATTTAACATGTGACAAGATTAGATCATTGTCATATGTGGTCACTGACGACACCCACTGCCTTTCAAAAACAACTAATCAAAAATCCACAGACTGAATGATCTACTCCAACGAAAGTGTGAAAAGATGCGACTGCCTGATTCCGGTTCTGTGGTGCAAACAAAACTAAAGATGCTCACATGCTGCTGTAGGTTTATAATTGGAGTAAGTTTGTTACTGTATCTGAACCATGTTTCTCATGAGTGGATAATTAGCTTAAATGATTTATTCTAACCATATAATGAAAATCACATGGCAACTGAACAGCAGTTTAGCTCTAAAATTATTTAATTTACCACACACATACATAAAACAGCATACATACATATATAAAAGTGTCTCCCAAAACTCTGCACATATATTTTAAATGGTATATACACTATTACTATCTGCCTATTAATCTATTATTAAAGCTGTTATTTTCTTTTACTGAATGCGGTAAATAGAGTTAAAAGGTATATGGTCATAAATAACAGATTGCTTAATTTCCTTTGCACACATTGCAGGAGATAGCACATTCCTCAGTTTCACCATAAAGCTGAAAGTCTGTATAATCATTAGCCTGGGCTTCCATGGCATATGTAAAAGATTCCCATCAACTGAGGAGGTCATGGTTTACACAGTTAAAGGCTTAATTGGGTGTGCGCGAAAGGGATTTCCTGCACGTGACACGTGAGAGAGCACATGAATGCCATCTGCACATGCATCTAAATGTCAAGGGTTAGTGTCTGGTATTTTCTTTGTTTGTGTTTACTGCTTTGTGTGGGTGTACCTAGGACTTGTTTTAATATTTTGTCTTGTATTATAAATAAATACATTTATCCTGAGATAATATCAATATATATTTTGTACTTTCCACTTCTGAACTTGGACCAAAGATGTGTCACAGTTGTCATTGCAGAGATAGAAAAGGTCCAGAGGGAATCTGAGGCCTGTGTGGCAAGTACAAAATAAGAAATGTTGAAAACTGCTTTTATGGTAGTGAAGGGGAGGGAGACTGTGTCTGCTGCAATGACTCTCTCTCTCGCTCGCCCTCTAACGATGGACTTAGTTTGTGCTTTGACTTTTGATATAGCTGTCTGGATAAAATCAAGTTTCCTCATGTCCCCAGCTGGAGCTTCAAAACATGCCTGCATAGCGATGGCACTACAAGTTCACAGGAGAGTACACAACCAAATTTGATCTGATTCATATTTACTTTTCACTAGACCTGGGATGTTGTTTCCATGCTTTTACATTTGCTTTAAAGAGATGACAAATGGAAATTGTAAACACACATAGTATGATAGATATGTCATGGCTACTTCACCCTTCACCCAACCAATTTTGTTTTGATTTTTTTTGGGGGGCGACCTTTAGGCAAGTTTTCTTCACAGAATTCTAATAGGCAATAAATTAATGTGTTATCTGGCTTAGCCAGTCCCAAGTTTTTCAGCTCATGATTATAAATTCTGAAGCTGACAAGTGAATTTTCTCCACTGAAACTGAAGAACCTATTAATTACTTAGGCCCACTATTTTTGACCATCCAAATGATACAAATATTTAAAAGCTCTGCGCAGGTCTGAAAATCAGCCTTTTGTTTCTCATCTGTGCAAAATAAAAAACTTTACGCCAGTTTTACCGCGATACTACTACAAAACAAATAAAAAAACATTTATGACACGTTTTCCTATTGTGTGGCATTATATTACAGAGCGAAGTGTAGCAAAAGGCCAGTTAATCCTGCTGGGAGTGTCTGTAGACTTCCAGTGTTTTGGTTTCATCTACATTTGGATCACGGATTGTGCCTTTAAAGATCGGTTAACTTCGGATACCACAGCCAAGTTAGTGCAGCGGGTGGTGGGTGGGATGGTTTTGTCGCTCAAACAAAACCACTGCTTTTGAAATGACCACTGCGAAGTCCTTCATTCGTGTCTCTTGTTAACTCTGCCCTACTTTGTGCGCCTTGATTGTGCAGCACCGGCACCCACTGACTAGAAGCATGACCGACTACGAAGCGGAAACCGCCTTCCTCGGCGAGTGGGGACGTTTTCAGCAGCAGGTGTTTTTCTTCCTTTGCCTGAGCATCATCCCCAACGGTTTCACTGCCCTGGCCATCGTGTTCCTCGCCGACACGCCGCCCCACCGCTGCCTCATTCCCGCGCACCTCAACCTCACGGACGCATGGAGGAACAGCAGCATCCCGCTGGAGGAGGAGAACCACAGCGGCGCCTTGGTGCCCAGCAAGTGCTTCAGATACAAACTTGATGATATGCTGAGTTTCTCGGAGAGAGGTTTACTGCCCGGCGTAGATGTAAATCTGACTAATGTGCCAAAAGAAGGCTGTCTGGACGGGTGGGAATATGACCGGAGCGTTTACATTTCCACCATCACAACTGAGGTTTGTGTACCTGCGCGGGTGCCAAATTTAGTGGAAGCTGCAGCTGCTTCCATTATAAGGGAGAATTGGTTGGTGTCTAAATGTGGCGCATTTATTGACATAAAGCCACGCATGAGTTGTTGTGTAAAACTGTCAGATATTACAAATTAGATGAGACGGATTTAATCACCCACTGATTACCCTTGACCAAAAAAACTGAAAAAAGAAAAAAAGAAAAGAAACCAGATATCAACCATTACAAACATGAATGAAAAATGGAAATCCATTTTTGGGTTCATATAGCTGTTTCTAATATTTTGTCCACCTCCATTTAATAAATTTTTCAACATAATAATGTCGTCATTACTATGTTGCAACATATGTCAACATCACAGTACAGTCTCAATAAAAGTGAACATTCTGAACTCCACATAAATATTTATTTTCTTCTTGCTCAGGAATATCATCTTAAAGAGTCTACTGTTTTACTGTGTTTGATGTACTATGGTTTATTATGCTTGTGAGTGTGTGTGTGTGTTTTGCAGTGGGACCTGGTGTGTGATGACAGGTGGAAGAACCCGCTGACGTCCTCTGTCTTTTTCTGTGGAGTTCTCACTGGCTCCTTCATTTCAGGACAACTTTCTGACAGGTGATAGGCAAAAGATTAATTTAACCTCTTTGTTAGAATGAACATGTCAATGAACACTTCCCCGTGACTGCAGTAGTTTTCTGCCAAAACAAAGGTCCATTAATGTGTTAGGCCAATCATTAAGTGCCAGTATACCGTCTTTAACGTTTAACTACATGACTTCTTTCAGAACTCAACATTGAAACAAGTCGGTGACATTGTCAATCAATTACTAGATTTTTCAATTATTTAAATGTCATGAGTTGAGTTATTAAAAAAAACATGTTTTGTGAGGTCACAGTGACATTGAACTTTGATCTTTGATTACCAAAATCTAATCAGTTCATCTTTGAGTCAAAATGAATGTTTGTCTCAATTTTGAAGCAGTACCCTCAAGGCGTTCACGAGAATGGGATGGACGGACAGCGCGGAGGCATAAAAATCAAGCATTAGCAGATTTTACACACTTCCAAAGTCTGTTTACAGGTTAGGGGAGTCCAACTGCATTTGTGAAAAAAGTTGTATAAAGTCTTGTGTGGCTCCAGATGGAGCTGCAACTGATACGTTACCTAAAGTGATGTCATAAATATAAAAAAAGGAAAAAAAACTGGGTATTTGGAATTTGAAAGAAGGTTAACAGACTTCAACAGGTGATTTTTGACTACTTGGGGGCAAAAGCTTCTTCAAAATTAGCTAACAGACACACATGCTCGACATATCACCATATATTCCTGTAGTTGATATTGCTAACATTATAGCCAACAGTTGCCCACTTACATACAACAGAGACAGAGCAACATTATCATCCCATGGGAGTCATGTTTCCGGCCACTCAACGTATGCAAGTCTGGTGTTCACTCTTCTTTTAGCTGTGGTTTTGTGCAGACCAAGTCTGGAAAAGAAATGTGGCTCTTTACCTGCTAGATATTTGATTTTCTTCACCAGGTAGCCAAAAGAAGCTAAGAGGTCGAGTAAAACTGCACAAATGACTGATAATTCTATATAGGTTCATCAGTAAAAGTGACCCCACTCCCACCAAATGTAAAATAATGTACTATGTAATGTATGCTCTCAACATGCAGCCACAATGAAAAACCATACATGAGGTCAATCATTGTGGCATGACATTGAATCACCTTCCCATCTACACAGCATGTATTTGGCGATTAATCTATGTTTTATGTCCTTTTCAGGTATGGGAGGAAAATAGTGATGTTTGTTACCATCGCAGTCCAGACAGTGTTCACTTTCATCCAGGTCTTTTCTTCATCCTGGGTCGTTTTCTGCATCGTGTTCTTTGTTGTCGGGTTGGGACAAATATCCAATTATATGTCTGCGTTTGTGTTAGGTACTTTTTCCCCTCTACTCATTGAATCTCAGAACTATTTAATCGCTAACCTGTTCATGATAATGCAGAAGACTATGACATTCCTCGTGTTTTTTTTCCTCTTGTGTCAAGGAACAGAGATTTTAGGCCCGCGTGTGCGGACAATTTTCTCCACTGCGGGTGTGAGTCTGTTCTTTGCTGTGGGCTACATGCTGCTGCCGGTGTTGGCTTTTTTCATCAGAGACTGGAGGATGCTTCTCCTAGGCCTCACCCTGCCTGGCTTCCTTTGTTTGCCTCTCTGGTGGTAGGTAGGTGTGTGCTTGCTTGTGTGTGTCTGTGTGGATTGCAACCATGTGAGACCTGGGATTATATACCCATAAGACATTTTCAGAACTTGGTGTGGTACTACTCTGATTCACGTGCTGACTGTGTACTGCTCATCATTTTCTCCTTGGCGCCAAGCTTACAATGAATACTTCTGCCTGAGACATCGGAACTCCTGGTCCATGTGTTTTCTCCAGCTCACAAGAATTTCAATAACACGAACTACATATAGTTGGTCTTAATTCCCCAAACAGCTCTGGCTCTGGAAACAAACTCCTGGAGGGGGGCTGGAATCTATCCTTTTCCGGCGTTGCCCAGGGTGAGAGGCACTGGGTGGGCGTGGGCTGGCCCAGGGGTCTCCTGAATGAACAGACGGGTACCAGCAGGCCAAACGGGCTCCAGCTGCGAAGGACGCAGTGTAGGAGGAGTTTGGGGAGGCCATGGAAAAGGACCTTCAGATTGCTTGAAGGAGGTTCAGCCAAACTGTCTGACGTCTCAGAAAGGGGAAGCAGGGCTTAGCCCAGGCTGTTTAGCAGGTGAGGAGAACTGTTGACTCAGACTGAGGATATCGTTGGGCAGTGGAACAAACACTATGAGAAACTCCTGAGACTAACCAACCTGTCCTCTGAGGAGGAGACACAGTCTGATGACTCGGAGGGAGTCTTACTCATATCTCTGGGGTCTTTGAGGTAGTTGAAAAGCTATGCAGTGGCAGGACATCCGGAGCAGATGAGATCTACTCCGAGATGCTGAAGACTGGACGTTATGGGGCTGCTGGTGCTGATATGCCTCTTCAATGCAGGCTGGAAACAGTGCCTGTGGCCTGGCCGACCAGTGTGGTGGTTGCCATTATGTCCGCTTTGGACACAGAATTACCTCTTTACTATTTGCAGATGATGTGGTTCTACTGGCTTCATTAGATTTTGAACTTCAGCATGCACTGCATTTATGGGTGTTCCTGACTGAGGGTAGGACTGAGCAGGAGATAGACGTGTGGATTGATGTGGTGTCAACAGTAAAATGGGTGTTATGTTGTGATTGTTGCGGTGAAGAGAGACCTGAGCTGGAAGGCAAAGTTTTGGATTCACCACTCTATCTGTTTCAATCCTCACCTAAGGTCATGAGCTTTGGGTAGTGAAGAAAAGATTGAAATTGTGGATCCACATGATAAAGATGAGTTTACCACCCTGGGTGGCCTTAGAGCCGGAGAGATAGGGCGAGGAGCTAGGAAATCTGGAGGGTCATTGGAGTAGAGCCACTGCTCTTTCGTGTTGAAATGAGCGAGTTGAGGTGGTTTGGGCTGATTAGAATGCCTCCTTGGTGCTGTCCAGTGGAGGTCTTCCAGGTTCCAAACATGCTGGAGAGATTATATATGTTGTCAGGCCTGGGAACGCCTCAGGATCCCCCAAGAGGGGCTAGAAAACATTGCTGGGGAGAGAGACATCTTGCTTGACCTACTGCCAATGTGATCGTGACCTGACCCTGGATTACGCCGTTGAAAATGGATGGATGGATAGATGGATGGATGGATCTTCTCAGTTGTTAATATTTACAGGTTTTCTTCATCTTCTGTCATAGTAAAATGACTATCTTCAGGGTTTTGAACTGTTGGTCACATAAAATGTGATAGACTGTTTTCATTCCTTTTTTTATTTTTTTAATTTGTAGAGTAGATTGTAGATTATCATCTACAAAATTGTCAAATGAATAAATTTGTATACATTGATTGTACCACTATGTATTGCCAGTTTAAAAGCCACAACAAAATCTGCTTATGCCAACTTAATGAAGGCTAGTGTTAGGTAGGTTTTACTTTTATGGAGCCACTCAATTTAGAATTATAAGGAATCAAAATGAGGAAAAGGAAAAGCCTCAATTGTATTTTTGCTGTATAGTATGTTTTCCTCTGTTCCAGGGGTTGAAGCTATCTCTCTCTCACTCTGTCGTGTTATGAGGCAGGTTCATCCCAGAGTCTCCTCGCTGGCTCCTCTCTCGGGGAAGAGTAGAAGAGGCTGAGGCCATAGTGAGAGATGCTGCTAAGAAGAACAAAATTGAGCCACCATCGGTCATCTTTAATCCTTCACAGGTGAGATCTCAGCAGAGTGCATGTGTGAGTGTATGAACACCAAGGTGCTGGGAACTGCCATGGCCGCTATAGTAGCCAGATGCAGGTGTACAATATTCAAGTCAGTACAGGTTGTTGAACTTAGGGAGTGGGGAGTTAAAGCTCTGTTTTCAGATATTTTCAAGTGACTGTCAGTTTATCATAGTAGTGTTTGTGTTTTACACTATATGACATATAGTTCTTTTGACATATATCATATAAACATGACTTTAATTAAAGTTACTGTGCTTTCACTTGAACCTGCTTGAAGATCGTGATTCAGATCTTCCACCTCTCCTGCTCTATGAAAACAGGTTTACAGAGAAAGCTGAAAAGACCAACATCAGTTAAGTCTCAAAGTCTCAAAAATAGACCCAAATCAATTTGTCAGTGTCACTACATAAAATTTACAAAAAAAAAGGAAAGTTATCACTTCATAATTTATCACCAAAGCCATGGGGAATGACAATGAATTTAGCCTTCTATTCTACTGAAAGCGGAATACTTCTGTAACCATATAATCCTTATACCTAAGCCATTAACCAGTCCACACACATTTCCCTGCTCATACTGGTTTGCTGTGGGTAAGCTTTTCTGGGCATGTATGCTCGAATTGTCTGTGAGTATCGTAAAGCAGCTATATATGTATGTTGAATAACTGGATGTTATGATTCCATTAAGGGAGCTCATTGTTTTGTACCGTTTTTCTACAAATTTAATTTTTTCATCCAGCAGGCCTCACTTACTCACACCTTTAAACCATTAACTTTGTTCTACAAAACAAAAACTGCCTCACTGACAACCTTTCCTCTGTGTAGACACATTGTCCTGCACTGTCCACCTTGGAAAGAGTCAATGGACGCTCTGCAGGGGTCAGAAAGTGTTAGTGGTTAAATCAATATCATTTTGAATGATTAATGTTTTAGAAACACAATTTAGATAGATATACAAGGCCATAACAGTCAAGTTTTATGTTTATGTTTACCTGTCCCATATTAATATGCTGGAACATTTTTGCATTCTTAATACAAATAAAACCAAATAAAATACATAATTCGTACCACTAACATTTGTTTTGCCTCTTACCATGGGAAACTGGATTAGATGGTATTGTTATCCTACTGAGCCTGTGTGTTTGTGTGGAGTTGGTCATTTTTTCTATTTTTCGCAATATTTGATAGAGCTACGGGCTAAATTCTCAGCTTTCTATTCAAAAAAGCAGAATTCAGAGTCGTAGCATTCAGCAAGTTGCAAAAGTTAGCATAACGTTAGAAGACACTGATGCACAAATATATTACAAATATAAACAATTATGTATATGCAGCAGCACTGAAAAACGAATAGTATGATAAAAATTAATGCTACGAAGGGATGAAACCATATCTTACAAATGATTAAAACTATTTCTGCCACATCATTTTGTCATTTCATGTTGGACTTCTGCCTCCATTGATTTCTGATCCTTGTGTTTGGGTACTGTATGTGTGAACATGTGCACATGCATGTGCTCACTCAGCAAGTGGCCATTCCATCACAATGTTCTCTGTAATGAAATTATTTCTAGACTGATGGCTCTGCTCGTTAAGTGTCTGTTGTTCCACGTGCTCTGCTGCCCCACAGAAAGAAAATCAGTCTGAGAAGACGACAGCCCACAACATCTGTGACCTGCTACGTTCTCCAAACATCCGCTGGATCTCTGTCACGCTGTGGCTGGTCTGGTGAGTCCCTGCTGTCCCACCTGACCTCCACATTCAGTACAGTGACCCTACATGCACAGCTATACACACACACACACACATAAGCTCTCATATATAGACATATACACATGCTGTTACACACACAGTTTCAGCCTGTTCAGGCATCACTTCAACCACATGTCAAGCCATCTCAGTAACAACAAATAATGATCTGGCGGGTGCTGTGAAGCCTGCAGCTAAGATCAAAATCAAGTTTTATGTAACTGCACAGTATGGCTGTATTCTTCCTGCACTCACTTCCTTGCCAAGTCTGAAAACAGGTGCAGCTTGGTGTTTCTTTGATTCCATTTTCTTTCCATTTAGTCTAACACTAAAAAGTCACAAGCTAATCAGAGCACGTGGATACGCTCTAATTTGCATGTGATTTTTTTTTTGCTGCTATTGAAGGACTAACTTTATACAGTCAAAAAAAATTCAGGATGCAAAAGTTGAATATTTTTCCGATCTAATGTTTGCCATCACAGCTCAAAGCTTTCATTTAACATACATAAATGCCTTGCAAATGCTTCTCATATACTGACATTTATGCCTCTTCTCTTAATAACATCATCTATTATAAATTAACCAAGGCTTAAAAATGTCACCAAAACTTCTTTGTTGACTATTTTGCAACAGCTTTTACTGGGATTTTATATTTTTAATTTTCTTCAATGTCTCCCATCTGCACTTATGGTCAGAAAGCAATATTTCCAACTGTCCTTTGTATATGCTGTTACATTTCTTGAACCTGCAATAATACGTTTTTTGGCCACTTGTTGGCAGAAACAAGCTGTAAACAACAATTACATATTATTACCTTTTATCTTGATATGGAAAACAAATAGTTGACTATTTACATATGTAGCAGATATGTATAAACATTAGCAGGTGATCATTTTTCTGCACATTTTTCACTATGAGCAGCTACCTTCACATTGGTTTCTGGTTTTTCTGGGTTCTTGTTGACTGCTGTTGTGGCGGCATGTGAGCATCCAGTCAGGATTTGTCCAGTCCTGTTCTGAGGAAGGGCAGATTCAGTCTTAATTAATCACCACATACCGTATTTGTGATCTTCACACCTCAACTACTTCAGTGACAGTGCCAACAAAGTGTCAGTGCCCATTTGTGAAAGTCCTTCCCTCAGTTCCTTTGCAGCTTTCGATTCAACCTAATTTCATATACATACTTTTACCACCATTAGTTGACAGATGATAATCTCCAGACAAGAAATACTGATAAAAACCAATTGAGTGTGGAAATAAACAAGTTTCATTGTTTCTCAAAAGGCTGTAGTGCCATGTCATTTAGCTGTACAGGGTAATAAACACCTCCCAGACTGTTATGTATGATTAACAATTATCCCCACAGGAACACCGTGACTATCGGCTACTTTGCACTTTCCCTGAACACGGCGAACCTTCACGGCAACGCGTACTTCAACTGTTTCCTGTCGGCTTTGGTAGAGATTCCAGCCTACACTCTGTCATGGGTTTTGTTTCGCTGGTGTTCCAGAAGACTGAGTCTCTTCTCAACCCTCTTCATGGGAGGATTGTTTCTACTCTTCATACGGCTCATACCAGCAAGTATGGCACTTCAATGGACAACAGTGTAACGCAAATCTGCAATTTTCTCCTTCGTTGTTTTATGTAAGATCATTACCTATCATAATTTTATCATTATATAGTTGGAAAACTCAAGTTTGCTTTCTTGCTCACAAGCAAGCAGATACAGTCATGCAGGATCTGAGATGTTTTCATTTTAAGTAGCAGTAAGTTGTTTGAATTATTGTTTGAATTGTCAATTTTATTTTATAACTCACATGTATTCTTGACCAGTTGAATATTTTGTACCCTCTAGACCTGATTTATTTTGCCATAACGCTCGAGATGATAGGGAAGTTTGCCGTGACGACAACATTTGCCATCGTGTACGCCTACACAGCTGAACTCTACCCAACTGTACTGAGGAATACAGCTCTTGGCGCCTGCTCCATGGCCTCCAGAATAGGCAGCATTATTGCTCCATACTTCATTTACTTAAGTAAGGATCAGATTACATCTGCGTAAAGCCCATCAAGTTTATGTCCCATCACTCAGCTGTCTGTTGATCCTCATTCTCTTGAAGTTACTGGAATAATTTGACTTTCTTAAAATACTACATGGACGCACTTCAAGTTGTAAAATCTCCATCCATCTATTATCTACACCACTCATCCTATTCAGGGCTGTGTGAGACTGGCTCCTCTGTTACAGGGGTAACACACTTGGACGCTCACAGTCACACTTAAGGGCAATTTTAGAGTTCCCGGTTCACCTAACCTGCTTGTCTTTGTATAACAATCTGCTATTAGCTTAACCAGCGCGAGACAGCGGAAAAAACAGATATCTCTTTTCTGTTTAAGATAATATGTGCCTTTATTTATCCCCTGTAGAGGAAATTCAAATTGACACAGCAGCACAAATATTAATAAAGACATGAAATAAGAATAGAAATAGAATCTAGAGTAAATAAGATAAATTAGAAATTCTATATACAATAAAATATACAACTACAGGTGGACATTTCTGTACATGGTTGTTGCTTGTTAAGCAGGTGGTTTGATAAAGTTCTTATTGGCCTTTTAAATCAACTTCAGTAATCTTCACTTCACTGGAGCAGCCTCTCAGCTCTGCTGTTCGCTCTGTGTGTGTGTGTGTGTGTGTGTGTGTGTGTGTACATTGAGATATCTGAGTGTCTAGATTTTTAAAATATTTTTAATGTAATTGCATTTGCAGGGATGCAGTGTTAAGAAAAGCAGTCCTTTTCCCCAACTGACTTGTGCTAACACTAGAGGCCAACACGCAGCTGGACCATCTACAAAAACAAAACAAGAACAAATGTCACTAGAACAAAAGAATAAAAGCAGGCTTGATTGGCACTCAGTTTGGATAAACCGGCCTGGTTTAGGAGTCGGTTTAGTTTCAGTTAAGATTTAATGGGTTGGGTTTACTGATGCATGATACTGATTTTTTTTTTTTAAGTCTCCACCTTTTGTCTTTTTGTTTTAACTGCTCTAAAGTACCATTGTAGCTAGAGTTGTTTTTCAGTGTGTCCTCCTCTGATGCTTTGCCACAGGAAGCTATTCGATTTCACTGCCTTACATCCTCATGGGAAGTCTTACAGCTCTGGCAGGGTTGCTGAGTCTCCTGCTGCCTGAGAGCTATGGAATGCCACTGCCTGACACAATCACTCACATGCAGCAGTTCCCTGGGTAAGACTACACCTCCCTGTCATTACTTTTTCTAAAGACAAGGGTGATTGTTGATCTGGTCATTAGTTTTTTGTAATTTTTGTAGTTTTCAATTTTTATGCTATGCTCAGACACGTTTTAAAAAATGCTCCATACCAGGCTTTAGGTGCTTGCCTCATTTACCTACAGTAAGAAAAACAGGCCTTCACTGCTGTGTAGTCTGTCAATCATGACTGCAAGTGTCTCACTTTTTTCTTTTTTTACGCTAGATGTTGTCAGAAGACATCTTATGCACCCACACACACTGAAGAAGAGGAAAACGCTTGTGAAAGGAAGTCTCCGGTTGTCCCTTGAACAAGGAGCAGCACTGATCCAGCTTGAGGGGAATAACTGGGCAAACATCAAGTCTCTCTGCACATTTCTGCTAAATGGACATTTGTCAGGTATAACTCAAAAGACAGTTCTTTTTATCTCTGGATGTGTGTAATTATGCAACTTCAACAGGACTGAAGAACATGACATAATGTAATCTCTGCAAACCTGGAATGATGTTTTGTCCAAGACAGCGCCAAAATACTGTTAAATGAAGAGTGAACCAATGCAACTGTTACCATACTTACATAATACTGCTCTGTAAATTATGAAAATAGTGTAACTTTGAATAAATAAAATTAACAGTGCACATACGTAGATGAAAATCTCTAATATTCTGATGAGACATTAATCAGAACCAGCAGCCACATTTAGGGTTTTATGGTATTGCAACTGCAACTTTTGTTTTTAAAATGTGCATAGAAACAATTATAGACAATATTTTGTACACATCTTTGTGATTCAAGATAACATGCAGTGTGACCTGAAAGGTAGAAAGTGTTCTACACTGTAATGTAATCAAACAGTTCTGTAATAAACACTACCTTTGTGAGACTTGAGTGGACTATTTAATAAAAAAATAAAATACATTTTTAATGGACGCCATTTTTCATTGTGTTGTTTTATTGGATTGACCTTTATTTCTGATGTATTTGCTCCTTTGTATATGTAAATGAGGATGGAAATATTACAGACAACTTCGGGGATAATGTTACACAGCACAATACAAAGCCACAATGTCCTATGGAATTTAGTCAACATAGAAACAATTTTCTGAAATTTTCAATAGTAAATTCAGTAAATGTAGCAATGATACACAATAAGAATATATATTAAATAATATATAAATACATTCTATATATTAGTAATAAATATTTTTATTGTTTTTATTTTCGTCTCATTCATGTATGTAAAGTTTTAGACAATCACAATTGGCTGTCGAAAAGCAGATTTTGAGCGCTCTTTTCTAGTGATGACTGGGCATTTTATGCTGTTGGAACAAAAGACAAACATCATGATGTCATGATGATGAAAATAATGAAGGCATACATGGTTTTGATATTATACTAAAAGACTAGTCTGTAACATTTTCTGTTTCTGTTGCCATTTTCATGTCTGGACACATAGTATCAGTTGGTCTGTCTAAAATAAATTTATTTTACACATTTTTTAGTAGCAGCAGGTTGTTTAGGTACAATGTGTGTGTGTCATGACTGTCTTGCAGTATTTTGGTTGTTGCACTCTTAAAACATAACATTTTTCTTGAAAGCTTTTGATTTGATTTGAAGTCTCATAAAATTCCCCTTTTCTTGAAAATATAACTTCATTTGTAAAATGTTATGACTTCTCCCAAGGACTAAAAATACTTTTAAATAATATTTTCTTTTCCAGCAGTGAACCCAATACTCTGAGTGATCAAGTGACCACTGGTCAGCCATGTCATGTACGACAGTCAGCGACATTCACGTTTCAAGGCGAGCCAAAGCAAAACTCTATTAACTTGGGAGAACCTGGAACCTCCTGAGAGAAAGGACCAGGATAGAGACTTGAAAGGACCGAATTGTGTGCGCAGTGCTAAACACCTGCTGTGTAAAGTAAAGCTCTTGAGATAAACCTAAACTTAATGAGTCTGGGCTGTGACAACTGAGACGTTTTGGTGATTGATATTCTAAAACAGGCTATAAAACAATTATGATTTCATTCAAGCGTAAAAAAGTTTAAATCATCACCGCCTTTTTTATGATTACCAGTGAGAGTTGCCAGAGTCAGAAAGTTTAAAATCCACACATGAGGGCTTTACATAAATCAATGAATAATCTTGAATAATTTGTATATTATAATAAGATTGACATAGTAGAAGCATAAGAAAATGTATGTATTCCTTTCTCACCTTTCTCTCTGATGCATCTGCTGAATAGTTTGAGGCAGAGGTTGTCCAAAACTCTCTGGAAGGAAGAGGGAGGCAAAGGAAGACACAACAGCCAGAGTCCCCAGTATAATATAAGGCAGGTACTCAGAGTATACACCTGTACAAGGACAAGATGAAATTATGATGGAAGAGTGTGTCTATAGAGCATCCATACTGTATATAGGTGAAATCAGATGTTTCTCTCCAAAAATTTGTCTATGTGCTGAGATAGATCCACATTAAACAAATGGTAATAATAACTACTAAAGACCAGTTTACTCACTCAGCTGGAGCAAAAAAGGTGAAATGCAGCTGCCAATTCTGGAAACAGTTGTACATGTGCCTGTCGCTGTGTTCCTGAGCACCGTTGGGTAAAGTTCTGCGGTGTAGGCGAACAGCAGGGCGGTACCAGTGGTAATAGCAAATTTACCCAGCATCTCCAGTGCAACAGACAGATCTGATAAACCTGAAGGATAAGAAATTGAACAGAAACACAAACTCTGTCTCTGTATGATCCACCCTTAGCACTTGATTAAATGCATGGTAACTAAGTGTTTGGAGATTTTTTTTTTTTTTTTTTAACCTTTTTCCCCTGGGTCTAAAGGCCTAAATATATTTTTTTGGAAAAAGGCAGTATTGTGATGCACCATGTCACGTTTTTTCTGCTGTGCGGGCTTAGATGGAAAACAAGTACAGTCCTAGGTGTTCAACAGAGAAATCAGGGCAGAGATGAGGCTGTTTGAACTGTCAGAATTCAGTTTTCGCCAGTTTCTGTTATCTAGGTTTCGTAAAAAAACGTGTTCTGCCAGTTTTGAGTGAGAGTATCACTACTAACTGGGATGTAGTCTTACAAAGAATCAGTGTAGCATGTTATTTATCACTAGCCTAGAAGTATAATTTTCCATCTGAAACACATGGTGCCACTACATCAGCATCTTATGCAACACATCTCTATTGTTCTTTCTCATCTTGAGACAAGAGGGATTATTCTGGAAGCAGGGATCTTCACATCTGAGAAACCTTTAGCTCTTGTAATTTAAAGTGTTTACTTTGAGGCACCAGTTGAATCAAGTACAGTGACACCCCTCCAAGGAGCAAGATACAGATGACAGACAGTCGTCGAGGAAGGTATCGCAGAGCCAGCCAGCTGGAAATGTATGCAGGCACCTCTACAGCTGCTGAGATGAAGCAGCTTATATAGGGGTTTGCATGGAGTCGGGATGTGTTCAGGGACAGGCCAAAGTAGCCAGCACTCAGACTGAACCTAGGGAGACAGAGATAAAGATATCAGAGATGTTTTAATGGAAACCTACATAGAAACAGAATTTAATAGCACAGACTATAAGACAAAACCATGAAAACAAGGAATGTTAAAAATGTTGCGAGTAGTTCAGGTGAATACATACATATTAATGTGATTAGCCAGTGAGCACCAGTGGACATTATAGTCTAAGAATTAGCTTTTTTAGGATATCAACCAAAAAAAGCGCTGGATGAGGTCCAAAAAGGCACCTTCAATATGTGTGCAGCTATGCAGAGTTAAGATCTATGTAAATGTAAATGAGTAACTATTAGTAATGCTTGAATCTAATTGTTTGTGTATGGTGATTGATGCTCAGACAGAATACTGACCACACCATGCAAAGAATGACAGTTGTGTTTCTGATGTTTCTGGTCCTTAGCAGGCTGAAGATGTTGAAATGCTCCTTAGGGTGCGTCTCTGTCTCATCAGCCTGCAAAATACAAAACCTCAGTCTCACCAGCAGTTTGTTGTGTTTAGCCATGCTATGCTAACAGTTACTGGATGGACTTCCATGAAATTTTGTACAGATATAAATGCTCCACAGATGATGAATCCTACTGACTTTGGTGATTTTAGCGATAGTGAAATGTTTTGACAACTATCAGGATGTAGTGCCAGGCAATTTGGTATAGACATTTATGTTCCTCACACACATTTGCTCCTGTGTCAATACCTGTATGATTTAAATCAAAGCCAACTTACATGTGCATTGTAATTATCAAAGATGACCTCTGGTGCCTCAACTTGGTTCCTCTTAGCAGCATCTCTCACTATGGTCTCAGCCTCCTCCACTCGTCCCTGAGAGAGCAGCCATCGAGGAGACTCTGGGACAAACCTGCCTCAGCATTCAACACAGAGACAGATGTTTAGGCTGGATCCGAGGGATTTAAAATACAGCAAAGTCGGTGCATACAAGTTATAATAATCCTGTAGAGAAAGAACCAAATAAGAGCCATAGGTTGCCATGTTTATGGTGCATGGTAAGGAAAACTTACCGCAAATACATTTTCTTGTAAAGAGTTCAACCTACCACCAGAGGGGAAAGTAGAGCAGGCCAGGCACAGACAAAGCCAACAGGAGAGAGCGCCAGTCCCTTAAGAAGTAAGCGAAGAGAGGCAGCATCATGTAACCAAAGGCAAAGGCCAGACATACACCCATAGATGAAAACAGGACCCGCACATTGCCAGTCAAGATTTCAGTACCTGCACAAAAAGAGAGAGGAAGAAATACGAATAAGAAAGTGCAAAGGTAATAAATGAGGAGCAATTATATTAAATTAAATTAATTATAAAAAATTAAATCATAATCATCTTTCTATATCCCTCATTATTTAAAATCACTAATGTATAAAAATATTGTTTTGCGGCATTTACCCAGTACAAAAGCGGACACATAGTTGGAGATCTGTCCCAAACCACTGATGAAGAGGAGGATGGAGAACACTGTCCAAGAAGGTGAGAAGATTTCAACAAACGTAAAAAATGTCTGAACTGCCACGGTTGCAAACAGAACAGGCTTTCTTCCAAATCTAGTGAAAAGTGAAACAATGAAATGAGAGGACAAAATGGACAAAAACACACAACAAAAACACTGATCATAAAATACACAGTTTTTTGTCTTCTTGAGCTCAGAGGTCATAACAATATGTAATGTAGCTTTACCTAACAAAACATGTTGTATCACAAAAAGTAACCTAACGCTGAAAAAATGACTGTTACATGAAAGTTTACAGTAAAGAAATTAGAAATGAAAAACTAAAAATTTCCTTTACTAAAATCTGCAATATTTTCTTTAGTAAAAAAGTAAAACAAGCACATCTTCAGGAATTTTTTTTATAAGATTATAAAAAATATTATAATTATCTACATTGTTCAACTAAAGAATTATCAAGACTTAAAAGTACATTAAGGTAAATGAAAAAGATGAGATTGTGTTTTCGTACCTGTCTGAGAGCTGTCCTGACAAGAAGGATCCAACAAGAACTCCTAGGAAGTAAACCGTGGAGGTGAACGGCTGCTTCCACTGCTCACCGCACACCAGGTCAAACTGAACATTCATGTAAGAATGATTAAACAATAAAAACATTAAGAGCACAAGGAATACATGTCAATGTGATGATCATTTATTGATTTAAAGCTGCAGCGTTCACTTCTTGGTCAGTATTACTGACTCTACCTCAATTCTAAAACTTGAACTAGACCAACAGGCACTCAGGTACATGCACACACTCACTTCAGAAACTATGGTGGATTGGTAGATGTCTGTGCTGTAGCTCCACCCGTCCACACAGTCCTCCTGCTCCAGGTCTGTGAGGTTGACATCCCTGCCAGGAATGTATCCCTGAGCAGAGAGATTTCTGACCACATCCAGCCTGTATCTGCTGCATCTGCTCAGCTCCTCTTTCCCATTCACCACCTCACAGTGACACAAACATTATTAATATTATTAATAACATTTCTTTTTCAGTATACTTGATGCAGATTGAAGATTTGCGATGGTCAGATTAAGAGAAGAGCCAGTGGCATATAGACGTGTCATCTGCATAAAAATGTAGATTACATTAATAAGGCTGAGGGGATGTGACTTGGAACCGTTACAAACTTCTGTGTGACTTCTACCTGAGGGATGATCATTAAACCATTTCATGGAGCCCCCTCCATCCTCCGTCTTCACCAATCAAGCACACTTTTACAGAATACCACCATGATCAACTGAATCAAATGCTTTGATAGGTCTTTGAAAAATGCAGCACAATATTTATAATATTTATTTAATTTGTTTATATAGCACTAATCAAAATCAGAGATTAAAAAGTGCTTCACAAGGACAGAATAACAAAGAAACAGACAAATGCAAACAAATCACTCAAGATAAAAAAACAAAAACAATAAAAACAGAAACACAAGTAAGCAATGTAAAAATAAGTGAAATATTTAAAAGATTATTCAAAAGCTTTGTGAAAGAAATATGAATGAAAGCTACTGATTTTGCTAGTCTAAAGTTAATCGGGCAGGTTGTTCCTGAGTTGTGTTGCCTTAACAGCAAAAGCTCTGTCCCCTTTAGTCTTATGTACTGTTATAGGCACTATCAACAAGTTCCTGTCCGATGACCATAGACTATGAGCATCTTAATAAGGGACAATTAATTCAGAGATAAAGTCTGGTGCTAGGCTTTGAAGTTCTTAAAAAGTCAAAAGTAGAATTTTCAAATTGATTCTTTAAAAGGACTGGCAGCCAGTGTAGAAACCTTAAGAGGGGGGTAATATAATCTCTTTTCTTAGTTTTTGTGAGCAGTCTGGCAGCTGCATTTTGTACTATTTGAAGTCTATGAATTGTTTTCTGATATATGCTACTTAGGGACCATTACAGTAATCAAATCTTGAAGAATTTAAAACATGTATGATGGTTTCTGTATTGTGAAGGTCAGACATAAACAGATTTTGGCACTGTTCCTTAAGTGATAGAAGCAAGATTGTACTGTCTTACAGACATGAGTCTCAAATAGGACACCTAGGTTTCTGACAGATGAATGAATGGCCAAGTGAGGATTTTAAATCTATTTGCACATCGTCAGGGCCAATGACTCTCTGAATATCACTTTTTTCTGGATTCACCGTAAGGAAGTTCACAGACATCCAGTTTTTTATGTCAACTAGACACTCTTAAGGTGTGGTTTTCAGGCTTAACTGCGACATACTGTATATCTGTGTATCATCAGTATATAAATGGTAGTAAAGACCATGCCTATGAATTATTTCACCTAGAGGGAGCATATATGAAACAAAAAAGGATTGTTCCATTAATGGGACCCAGGGGCACCTAAAAGTGTTTCAGGGAAGGGCGTGAAACAATATCACCAATAAAAACAAAACAATATTGTTGATGATTGTCCAGGGCTTCAATGATATAGTTAAGTACACATAATTCAGTTTTCATGTGCTATGACATGATCTAAATTCTGACTGGCCAGGCTGTAATATGTCACAGTTGAGAATTTCATATTTAGTTAACGAGGTGGCAAAGCCACAACTCTATCTTCCTCAATCTTACATACCTTTACTGGGATTATACCTTCCTGCCAATCTTGGGTTAGGTTAACCTCTGGAACCAGGCAGTGGTGACTGGGAATGTCAGTCAGGTAGACAAGAGAGAAAGCACCAAAACCATTGGGAAAGATGCTGGCACAAAGCAAGAAGAAAACAATCTGCTGAAAAGGTCCCCACTGACCCAGGAATGCTGTGGTGTCATCATAATCCTTCATGATCCCCAAATCCTAGCTGTGCCCTCCACAATCTTTATTCTTGTAGACTACTTTTTACTTGCCACCACCCACCTGCCAGCTAGCCACTCCCTGTACTAAATAAAACTATTCCTGAGATAATATTCCTCACCTACTTATGACTGCTGTTTACTACTGTGACCTGGGCAGTAAATAATATAGCCACAGCGGCTAGAGGTGCAAAAATGTTATTGATTTTATTTGCAATAACAAATAACTGCAATATTTCAATTAATATTTGACCCAAACTGACCCTTATTCAAACTGTAACAGAAACGTGTTTCTGATCAGGCAAATGCCATAAAATATCTTGAGTTATCAAGTTCTTTTTTTTTTTTGTCACTGCCAAGTTATAGATACAAAGGTAGTAAAAAGTTACAGTATGACTGGGTGCTTGTCAGGTGTCCTCAACAGACATGAACTTTGGAACTTTTATTTGACAACTGAAAAATGTATTACCAGCTTTTTAAAAAGCTTCATAGCTTGTATATGAAAACATAAATAAGATTAAAAAAACAGAAAAAAAAAATCAGTATATATAATCCTTATGTAGCCAAAATACATTCTGTAACTTGTTTATTTAAGAGATTTGCCTGCCTGATAAACAGCTTTTTGTCTGTCTTAAGAAAAATCAAACAAAAAACAAAACGAAACAAAACGAAACAAAACGAAACAAAACAAAACAAAACAAAACAAAACAAAACAAAACAGAACAAAACAAAAAAAGGACAAATGTTTAAATCTTAAGAACTGTAAACAAATAATCATAGTGGACTGTCCAGGTGTTCTGTGGGTACCGAGGTTTCTTTTCTACTGATGCATCGAAAGGTTATCCTGTTATAAGGAGAAAAGACAAACAATATTTGTTGTACTGTTTTGCAATTAAAATGAGAAAAATAAAAAAAAATTTTTTTTTTTTGGTGCCTTCAATTTCATTACTATCATCACAAGCAGGTGTGTTCATCAAGTGACTCATGTCACATTATCACATTATCACGTCCACTTAGAAAATGTTTTGTACACATTTTAGCACTACAACTATTACACCAAGAAAGAAAACCAGATCTCTTAACCACTTAAATATAATAAAGGTTTTAAGATAATAATAGCTGTCTGTTAGCTCTGTTTTTGGTCTTTACCAGCTCCTGTGGGATACATCCCTCAGCTGCTAAATGGTTCACTATGTTCACCAGGTTGTGTTTTTGTGTGTGTGTGTGTGTGTGTGTGTGTGTGTGTGTGTGTGTGTGGGGGGGGGGGGAGTGTATATGATTTATCAGAGCTTTTCTCTGAAACCTGCTGACCAATAATAGTGCTGTGTGAGTGGGGGGATGAACCAAAACTGGACAGCTAAACAATGAGCTGAAACTCGCTATAAAGCTCCATTAATCCAAGGGAAGCAGCAGATTTGGTTTTCAAAATTTAATTTGACACATTGTTATTGATAAATTATTGATTATACCTCTAACATAAGGAGTCTGGAATGTACCACTGAAAATAAATACTAAATTTTTCAGTGGATAATCATAATGACTTAAAATTGAATTAAACATTTTTTATGATGGTCGATACATGTGCCAGATTCCAGGTTATTATTCTATTTTTGAAAGAATTTGTAAATCTATTTACAGGGTTTTAAATTCAGTTTCCTCATTTTGCATTTACCAATATGTTTTCTTATCCCACTCCATATCAAAATTATTTTGTAAGCCTCACTCTTTAATTTCAAGATCTGTAACTACTGGGACACACTAAATATTACATTAAATTGATGATGATGAAGTTGATTTTTGTCTACCGTGCAGTTGTGTTTTTTTACTGTGAATATTGGACTTATACTGTGTACGTATAATGGTGCACTGTGTATAAGCAGTTGCACTAATAAGATAATAACACTGTGGTTTTAAATAGTAAATCAGTACACAGTCTATTTGAGAAGCTAAATGAATAGGAACAAATTTAGCAGTGCAACAGAAAGTGAAATTAAGATCGATTTAAAATGTCAATTCAGTTAATGTCAGAGTTATTAAATATATAAACCATGTATTATAATTTAGTATATAGAAATGAGTTTGGCACAGCAGTAGCTTCGGGTTCATTTTATATAGGACAAGAATACCTTTCTCTTTTGTGCATCTGTTGAATAGTTTCCGGTAGAGGGCGCCCAAAACTCTCTGGAAGGAATAGAGCAGCAAAAGCAGAAACAACAGCCAGAGTCCCCAGAATTATATAAGGAAGGTATTTAGAGTATAGACCTAAAAAAGGAGAAAGGGATGTTTAGATGGGAGAAAAGGCTTGGTCTTCTATGTGTGCATTTACTCTATGTGTGCGCAATGAGATGAAGTCAAATATAAAAAACAAATGTTAGTCATTTTTATCTAAACCCAGTGTACTCACTCAGCTTTAACAATAATGGTGTAAGGCAGCACCCCAATCTTGAAACAGTAGTGCATGTCCCTGTTGCTGTGTTCCTGAGCACTGTTGGGTACAGCTCCGCTGTGAAGGCGAACATCATGGAGCAACACGTGGTAATAGCGTATTTACCCAACATCTTCAGTGTAAGAGGCAGGTTTGGTAGATCTAAAAGATGAATAAATACTTTGTTTTTAACTGAACACAAAAAAAAGAAACACATAGACAGTCTTAACCAGACTGTAACTCTTCATTTGCTACATTTAATTGAGTGTTTAGTGATCTGATGGGCAGACGAAGCCTTATGAAACATTGTAAGCCCTTAAAAGCAGTGATTGAGATAAATCTATCTCGGTCACTGCTTTTAAGGGCCTGCTTATGGTTATTTAATGATACTTGTAAATGTTTTACTTCTGTTTGTTTAATTGTCTTTTTTTTTTGTCCCTTCCTCTCCTTTTCCCCTTTCGGCACTTGACAGGCAGTCATTTGGATAAGACATTTTTCTTAATATCTTACCTGGTAAAATAAAGCCAAAATAAAATTAGAAAATAAAAATATGGCAAGCACAGTGAAATCTGATGGCTCACACTTATAGCAGCCTCTCAAGTCTGGAGCCGAAGCAGCTATATTTTTGAGTAGAGATGCTACATTAAATGTAGATGATATTGTGCAATAGGTTACAGTAACATAATTAGCAAATGCATTATCCAAAAAGCCTGACATGAAATATTAATGTACCTTATTAATGTTTAGGTTCACTGTGGGTAAATGTGTCTTCATGGTTGATATCTATGGAATGTTACATCATTAGATTTTTCATAATTATGATTTGTCCTATGCCATAGTTCTCAATTGTTCTGCTTTCTTTTTATCCCAAAAATACACCTATCACACATTTAGCTGCAAAACTTTAAAAACTGGATGGATGAAACCTTTTCTGAAGGAGCAGTGCTGTTGAATCAGACATCATCGGTCACGTGGAATTCTTCATTTGACACCAAGCTCCAAAACAACATATTAGCACAGTGCGTTTCCGTATCATCTGCCTGTCTTTACCCACCAGGAACACTTTATAATAAAGTTGCAAAACACAAGCTAAGGTAATACACATAACTAATGTATGACTGATGATGATTTATTGCATCAGTTAATGCAGGATATACCATGAGCTCCTGTTGCTCTCCATTCAGAAATGATCAGTTCAGAGTTATGTGATTCTCAATTACTTGTTTTAGTTCTTAGAAAATGAAATAAGTCCGAACAATTTCTTCTGTTTACTTATTATTTCTACTTTACTCCATGTGTCTGAAAACTCAAGTCTCTTGGCATTCTGGGTATACTTTTTTGCTTACCTTGAGGCAACAGTTGAATGAGGTACAGTGACACTGCTCCAAGGAGCAAGGTGCTGGTGATAGACAGACGTCGTGGAAAATATCGCAGGGCCAGCCAGCTGGAAATGTACGCTGGGATCTCCACAGCTGCTGAGATGAAACAGCTGATGTAGGGGTCAGAATGGAGCTGGGATGTGCTGAAGGACAGGCCATAGTACCCAATAGTCGTGGTAAACCTTAGCAAGTCAAAGATATGTAGACATACATCAGAGATTGAATAGAAACCTTAATACAAAGATAATTTAATATGACACATATTTGAGTAAATTCTAACCACACTTTGATTTTATGCAGTTCAGTATCGCCTGTGTTTCAATACAGGTAGAATATTCCAGAGCTTTGTTGCTCTCACAGAAATGGCTCATTAGCCTGTTTTGCTGTTTCTGAATGTGACAATTCAATCTCCTCTAGCAACTGACCCTGTGATCCATAAAACTGGCTCAAAACAAGAGGACTCCCATACACAGTTCAATGTAGCACATAAGTGCATATACTGCTTCAAGCTCCCAATACTGCAAAAAATAATATCTATAATAATAATAATGAAAACTGAAGGTTTTCTATTTCTAATAATAATAAAATAATAATATCTAAATAATATCTAATATATGATATGATAATGGTGACAGTAACAATGTGAGCATTTCTGTTTTTATTAAAAATGTCTTAATTTACTAACACATGTGACTTATATTAATCAGGAGTTTGAGACATTGAAGATGGAAAGTTCAGACGGTAAAAATAACTCGCATTATCTTTTCTGTATTTGCTTGTGTTTTCTGTATTTTCTGTGTGCCACGCATGTGTTGCCAAAGTGATTAAAACATTTAACCCGTGTGTGTTTTAATATTTTTTGAAATCTTTAATGACCTCTTTTGAAATGGGACATATGTGTTACCAAAGTGGAAGATATTCTCTTCAGTTAATTGTGTTTTTTCCATTTGCAAGTTTTCATAAGTTGTAGTACAACGGGCTCTCACTGCCACTGTACTTAGTAATGTTAAAACTGTTAATAATACAGTACAGCAAATCTCATTGTGAGTTTATGGTGACTGAAGTGCTCAGACTGTTTACTCACGACACCAAACAGAGAATGAGGGTTGTGGTTCTGATGTCGCGCTTCCTCAGCAGATCGAAGACGTTGTGGTGTACCTTCAGGTGTGTATTTGCCTTATTAATCTGCAAGATACAAGAACCTCAGTCTCACTCTGTTTTCTCAGTTGCCTAATATTACAGGAGTTTTTTCTCTCTTCTTCTTTTTTTTAATTTTTTTTTTAGATTTTTTGTCACCATCTTGTCAACTTACACTATAATCTTCAAAGATGACCCTAGGAGCCTGAACTTTGTTCCACTTAGCAGCCTTTCTCAATATGACTTCAGCCTCCTCTGCTCTTCCCTGAGAGAGCAGCCACCGAGGGGACTCTGGGATGAACCTGCCTCATTATATAACACAGACACATCGAGAGTTTCAGTCTGGATCAAAAGACAAACCATTAAGGAGGGTGGATATAAGTTATTATACTTCTCTCGGGAGCGAATAATAATAATAATGATGACAATGTAAGACAGTGACAATCTAAGATCATATGGATGCAGATTAAAGGGCCATGCAGTTAATCAAGACTTAAATTTGACGTTTGTTTCAGTGGGTATGTTTCTTTTGGAAACTCTTACTATGAGATAAAAAGATGTAAAACAAATGCAGCTTTAATAGTGGTTCAAATTACTGTCTGCTCTTTTAGGCTGTAGTTTCAATTGGAGTGTAACTCCAATAACACTGACTTTTAAACACAAATACCTTGGTAAGAGATAAAGTCTATGATTTATGATAATTCATGGTAAGGTAAACACAGTATAAGCTTTCTTGTAGTGAGTGCAACCTACCACCAGAGGGGGAGGTAGGCCAGGCCAGGCGCAGACGAAGCCAACAGGAGAGATTTCCAGTCCCTTAAATAGTAAGCGCAAAGAGGCAGCAGCATGTAGCCAGCAGCATAGCCTAAACATGTGCCTAGAGATGAGTAAAGGACTCGCACATTGCCAGTAAAGGTCTCAGCTCCTGCACAGAGAGAGAAAGAAAAGCAAAGAGATGGAAATGTGCTGAACAAGGAAGAGGGCATGCAGAGAAGTACAGTATTTCTGACAAACTTGGTTATTTGCATTATCTAAATTCATTCAAAACCCTCAAAAAACAGTGTCTATAGAATGAGATGTTCATATTTACCCAGCACCAAAGCAGCTACAAAGTTGGATATTTGCCCCAAACCATTAAAGAAGAGGAGGATGATGAACATAGTCCATGAAACAGAGAAGACTTGAGCAAAGGTAAAAACAGTCTGGACTGCTGTGGTTGCGAAAAGAATTGGTTTCCTTCCGAATCTGAGAATTTGAATGAAAGTAAAAATGTTAAAAAAAAAATCACTACCAAGATACATATACTGAACAGGGCAGGCATGGCAATGTGATCAGCAGATGTGCTCAACGCAAACAATTAATTCACTTTAAAATAATTGATATAATAATGTCTACCAAATTGACATCTCTCTTCTGTTGGTTCGGCTGCGGGACAAGTTACAATTTAGTCATCCTTATTAGTAACGGAGTAGGCCTATGGTCGCAACAAAGGTTTTCACAACTTCACCCTGAATACATCTAATCAGCCAGAAAAACTGCAAATGGCTGTGAAGGGCCTTAGTAATACATATTATATAAGTTGACTACATATTTTAATGCAAAATCAAATTAACTACAACTGTAAAATAAATGTAGTGGAGTAAAAAGTACAATATTTCCCTCTGAAATGCAGTGGAGTGGAAGTATAAAGTGGCACAAATTGGAAATACTTACATAAAAAAATTATACAATAACTCAAAATTATATTTGCCACTGGGTATCATGTTGTGTGGTACTGACAAAAAAAAACACTGCTCAAGGTAATTACAAATACCAATTCATAATAAACGTAATGTTACATAACTTTCTCTGTGTAAAGTCACATTAAGTATCAAATTACCTTAAAAAAAAAAGTTGTAGGTACAGGATGACTTTAAATGAGTGGTGTAGTGTTCAGTGTATATCACTTGAAACTGGTGTTTCCAATACCTGTCAGAGAGCTGCCCTGAAAAGAAGGATCCAACAAGAACTCCCAGGAAGTAAACTGTGGAGGTCAATGGCTGCTTCCACTGCTCACTGCACACCAGGTCAAACTGGAATATCCATTCATTAAGAGTTGAACAATGAAATACACAGAAAAGAAGACAACCATGTTAATGTTATTGATTTAATGAATTTGGTATGTGCTCTCCATTGCTGGTTTTATATGGTACTTATTCAGATGTCCTGTCTCTTCAGGTGTACTTGGTCTGGTCAGACTATGCTTAAAGAATGCTGATATTCTATGTTTTTCTTATTGTTAACACTTCCCATAAAATTACCAAAACCAACAACGCATTAGTCCACCTCTCAACACTTTTTGACTTGCCAATCTCTCATCCTAGAGCATAATATTGAGATCATAAACAACTAACCCACATTAGGATAAATAAATAAAGTCTACTGTATGTGATGATAGTCAGAGCACAGTATTTAAACAAGCCTCTTTGGAGGGTTGGACAGAAGACAGTTCATTTACACAAGCAATGATTTCTTTAATGACACCTTATTAACACCCCAGGCAGAATTTTCCATTCCCTACCTGAACATGTGAAATGTCATGTTAGAAAATGTGAGATCACATATTGCATTACATGTCTCACAGAAAGTATTCACCCAACTAGCACAACAATGAAACAGGCACATGCAACAACAAAGACACTGGAATTACATTCAAATCCTCACATACAAATTATGTGACAGAAGCATCAGCAAATACGGAGACAGAAAAAGCTGGCTAACCAGACTGAAAATGCAGTTGGAATTACAAAGACAAGTTGCAGTGAGTTAAACAAGCTGTCAAAGGGTGTGAAACGTAAGCACACTGTAAGGTATTTAGTAGCCTGACATGTCCAAGGAAAGACATAATTAAATCACAATTTGGCAATAGGGGACTTCTTTACTAGTTCACTGCACTGAACAACACACCCAGATGCTGTAGAGAAAAGCCTTATCTCACACAGAGAAATGCAAATAAGAAACTGAGGAACAGATTGAGACTGAGGAAGAGGAGGATGGGGAAAATGAGAAGAACAACAGGTTTTGGCAACAAGCAAATTCAGTCGTGGTCACATACACTCACCTCAGAGACTATGGTGGATTGGTAGATGTCTGTGCTGTAGCTCCACCCGTCCACACAGTCCTCCTGCTCCAGGTCTGTGAGGTTGACATCCCTGCCAGGAATGTATCCCTGAGCAGAGAGATTTCTGACCACATCCAGCCTGTATCTGCTGCATCTGCTCAGCTCCTCTTTCTCATTCACCACCTCATAGTCACAGTGACACAAACTTCAATGTTTATCGTAAAAAAAAATTTCAGTGAGTTATTAAGTAAGGAAATGTGTTAAAACGGTGATACAACAATGGCGTTTGAACGATATGGTGTTGACAACTGTGTCCTTACAATGCCCGTCGTTCTCTATACCTTCATGTTTAACCCTGAAATCTTCTCAATCATCCTGTGCTCAAAGTATTAAAAAACATTTTTGAGGTGGAGCTCTCATATTTACTAATAGCCTACTCACCATTATTGGGATGGTGCTTTTATGCCAGTCCTCGGTGAGGTTGACGTCAACTACCTGGCAGTGGTGACTCTGTACATCCATCAGGAAGACGAGGGTGAAAGAGCCAAATCCATTGGGCATGATGCTGGCACAGAGCAGGAAGAAGATAACTTTCTGAAACCGTCCCCATTGACCCAGAAAAGCTATGGTCTCATCATAATCCCTCATAGTCAAAAGTATCCTCTTCTTTTTGAGACTACTCTTGTATTCACTGTCTTCCTGCAACCGTGTCCTGCCGAGTCAAATATCCTTTATCGCCTTACTTTCCAAATCAACAATGTACAGAGGAATTTGACTTGGTGGAAACATTCCCAGTGATACATAAAAGTTATGGTGTCAGCAAAATCATCCACTTCTTTCTAAGACTGCTCTTGTATCCACTGTCTTCTGGCACTGTGTTCTGCAGTATAGTAAAGTTATATCATGAACGCTCTGGGGTTTTTTTCTGCAGCGTAAGTGGAGTCATGCTGCTACCTGCCTCCAGCAAGCCGCCCTGTGCAAGGTAAAACAAGCATACCAACTGAACTCATTCCCACAATCAAAATCAAAGAAACATGAAATCAAAAGGCCACTTGATGCAATTTGGGATGAATTGAGTTCATTGTCCATTAAACTATAAAAAAAAAAAAAAAAAAAAAAAAAAAAAAAAGAACAGAGGTCTTGGCTCCCAAAGCTGCTAAACCGGGCTAACCAGTGGTATTACTACTGTCTGTGTCTCTCTCTCTCTGTGTGTGTCTGTCTGTCTACTCTTGTATTCACTTCTTGCAACCGTGTCCTGCAGAGTCAAATATCCCCCCCCCCCCCCCTCTCTCTCTCTCTCTCTCTCTCTCTCTCTCTCTCTCTCTCTCTCTCTCTCAGCATATCCAGACGCTGATTACACAACAGTATTATTGCATAGGCAAGCCTCAGGCTGTTCACACTAAAAGGCCACTCTAAAATGTGTGTGTATGGGAGTGTGGTGAAAAACAGCACATTTTAAAGTGGTCTTTTATTGTGACCAGCTTGAGTCACACCTGTGCAATATTCCTGCTGTGTAATCTGCATCTTGATATGGCGCACCTGTGAGGTGGATGGATGATCTTGGAGAAGGAGAAGAAAAATGGGAGCAAATACAAAAGTGCTGCGTTTATATTTTTGGTCAGTGTAGTATATTTTTTGACGATATGGACGTTATCACGATATTAACATGTGTGATTCCAGTGAATAATAATTTCCAGCGGGAAATATGCTGTCTTCACTTTGAACCTATTTTTACAGAGGAGTTCAGAAATAGAGCGCTTTGTCACATGGTGTAACGAAACCAAAATTAAAAAAAATAAATAAATTTTACACACCCTTGGCAAAATTTATTACATATGCATTAACAACCTAAATGATCAAAGAATGGAAAATGAAAACAAAAATGTCCTTAAAGATACACAGGTGTTAGTGTACAGTTTGCACAATTTGAAATGTAAAAACAAATCTTACTGTTACTTAATTTTGGTTTACAATATGACAGAAGTGGTGGTAATGCTACAACTGTCAACAATTGTGAACACAATCAGCTTAAGTCCACCACTAGATGTTGCTGCTTCATCAGCATAATGCAGTGCTGTTTTGAAACCACTTTGCCTTTTCAGACAACACAATTACTGAACTTTGATTTTATGTCATCTCATTCATGCATTGCAAGATCTAATAGAAATATACATCATTTTTTGATGACTTCACATATTTTTTGAGTTTTGTAGTACTCCAATTATAAATAGTAAAGTGAGTATTAAACTGAAACATAAAACTATGATATACATCCACACTTTAGAGAAGAAGGATTGAAAGAAAGAATGAGGAAGACAGCCTTAGCTTTCCATTATACAATCAGTCATCCATGCTCTACTAATAGAGTTAATCTACACTACACAGTAGCACCTCCCTTTCATTTTCTGCCATGTCTCTCTGTCCTCTCTTTCTCATCTTCCCGTGTCTAATTTTGTCTCTTTTCTCTACCTTTACCATATAAAAGTGGATGAGTTAAAAAGTACAGTTCTTTGGCTCGTCTTTTCTCCCCTGCTATTATTTCTTTATTTCTTACTTATTAGTATCGACTGGAATCTAAGTCAGTAATCACTTTCTGAAGGAATTTTCACAATTTCATCAAAACCCAAGGTATGATAAAATAATATTATTTGCACTATCTGTATACTTGAAGCAGCACTGATTGCAAGTCATTTTTGTTTTGCAATTAATGTGTTTTGATCACAATATTGGTTAGAATGAACTTTTGTAATATTAAAATCAAATATTTGCTCTTTCTTACATTGATATACAGTACATTAGTATACTGCAGAGTAGTAGTGTCACTGTAGCCTTTCATGTAGTGGTCTGTAGTAGTAATATAAATCATTAAATACTAAAATAACTATAACAAGTATTCCCACCACTAGTAAAACTACTTAAGCTACAACTACAATTATAACTTCTATTACTTCTACTCCAGAACCGAACCATGGAAACTCAGCCGAGATCAGAGCGAATGAAAACAGTTGTATCTGCTCTCTGCAAAATCCCACTCCTCTTTCTCCTTTTGTACTTCTTCGTGTGCTCCCTTGACGTTTTAAGCTCTGCCTTTCAACTATCTGGAGGTAACAACTGTCATCTAATTGTCAGTTTTAGTTACTCTTAGAATATACTGTATGCTCAGCTTGATTTTGAATTTTAAAGCAGTCCTACTGTCTGTCCCTCCTTTTCTTCGTCTCTCCCTTCTAGGCAGGGTAGCAGGGGATATCTTCCAGGAAAATGCAATCCTGTCTAACCCAGTGGCAGGGCTGGTGGTGGGGATACTGGTGACAGTGTTAGTCCAGAGCTCCTCCACCTCCACATCCATCATAGTCAGCCTTGTCTCTTCGGGTTGTGAGTTAAAGTTTTAACAATCCAACAACAATGTTTATTAGAGTTCTTATGGAGAAAGGTCTAATGCGAGCACTTTGACAAGACCTGGCCAATTGAATACCACATATCAAAGATCAACACATTTTGTCCAATTATGTCTTTCTGTGTAGTGCTGGATGTTCAATCAGCGATTCCCATCATCATGGGCTCTAACATCGGAACATCAGTCACAAATACTATAGTTGCCCTAATGCAGGCTGGAGAGAGAGAGGAGTTTGAAAGGTACGGCTGTGTGTGTGAGATGTTCATATAATAATTGTAGGTATGTGTATTTGAAAGTAACATCTGTAATTGTTTTGACTCCAGGGCATTTGCTGGGGCTACAGTCCATGACTGTTTTAACTGGTTGTCAGTTTTGGTGCTTCTCCCTCTGGAAGCTGTGAGTGGATTACTGAGGCAACTGTCACAGGCTGTGGTCTACACACTTCAGCTCAGTACTGGAGAAGAAGCTCCTGAACTTCTTAAAGTCCTCACTGAGCCACTTACTAAAATGGTTATTCAGGTACTTTGCCTGTTTATTTACATATGCAGAAAAAAATATTTTTTTTTAGTATTCAAGACAGATACAGAAGCAAAGCCAGTAAGGGGCAGATACCTGGGAAGCACAACTTGCGAGTTTAACAGTCAACACAAAGTAATCAGTAGGAGCTCTTCAGAATGGGTGCTAGAGGTTTTTGCTAAAAATAGTACCAAACAGTTAATAAAAAGCATTAGCTTACAAGCTCCATGTAAATTGATGGTAGAGAAAATGCCACCTATTAAACTGATTTTGCATAATTGTATTGTTGTTATCTGTTGAATTAAAGACAGCCACAGGAATAAACAGGGCAAACAAGCTTAGAGACATAAGATTAAAAACAATGAAAGAAGAAGAAGCAGAAAGAAAGCAGCAGCTTTCGAGTAATTAATTTCCAGTTGGAAAGTAGTAACATGGCCCTTCATACACACTTTTCAGAGCTAGACATTGTGACAATGTGACATTGTGTACATCTGAGTTAGGGACACAAAGGTTTGTTATTCCCATCCTTAAGGTTAATGTGTAATTTCTTTGTAGACAATTGATGGCAGCAATAAAGTGTAATTCTAACACAGTATGACAATAATGTAATAAAATGGCTCTGGTTTTGCAGCTGGATCGGTCAGTCATTACAGCCATTGCTACGGGAGACCAGAGTGTGAGGAACAAGAGTCTGGTGAAGCAGTGGTGTCAAAGCACAACTGTGGAGGTACTGATACCAAAAATGTCCCATATTAATGTGAAATTACTACATGCTGCTTCTCATGTCCTAGTCCCTGCGGTGACATATTTGTCTCACTTAAGTTGGCGAAAGTTCACACTACCAGGTTGGTTAGGCACATTAAGCTACCTACATGTATGTTTCACCATCTATAAAGTAGTGTTGTTCATATATTGAATGTGCAAAACTAGGAGTGTACTGAATATGTTACATTATATTGCATTCTCCTCCATCCCTTTGCCTCAGTGTGCCCTCTACCTGTTTATCATTGCTGACAGGACAATGAAACATCCTGGGGAACTCACAACCTTTCAGAACATACACAGAAATGTACGCAATTTTGTCATTTTCTAGCATTTCTCTAATTTTAGGTTTTTAAGATGTCTATAGAATAACATCTCTCCTCTCATACATTTCCCTTCTATATGTACATTTCAATGACAAGATTCATCAATCATCAATCAGTTTTGTCAGTTGTTGCCAGAGAGCAGCTGCATTCTCTCTTTCCATCACATTTTGGTAGTTGAATTTTGTTTTTCACTCAAACTCACTTCTTCTGTGCATCAGACCCTCACGATATCAGATCTCTGTGTCTCTGCTCAGGCAGGCATCTCTTTGTGGACTGCTCTCTGTCAGACTTGGCAATAGGTTTGATCCTCCTGGCGTGCTCCCTGTTGGTGCTGTGCAGCTGTTTGATACTGCTGGTTAAACTGCTCAACTCCCTGCTAAAGGGCCAGGTGGCCAGTGCTATTAATAAAGTCATTAACACAGGTAATAGAGCAACATGACATCACTATTCCTGAGTGCATTACAACTAAACCTATAGCTTTTCCAGTTATGCTAACCTAGAATTTGTAATCTAGAATTGTAATCTTAAATTTAACAATGATAATGTACCCCCTCCTCTCCCGTCTTGTCATGCCCTGTAGATTTCCCTTACCCTTTTACCTGGCTGGCCGGTTATCTGGCTGTACTAATGGGAGCAGGCATGACTTTTTTGGTTCAAAGTAGTTCTGTCTTCACCTCTGCCATCACTCCTCTCATAGGTAACACACACACAAAGACAAAATTTAGGGTATAAAGAATATTAAAATATAATAAAAAAATAGGACTGCATTTTTATACCTAGAAAACTGAACTTTATATCGATTTATTAATTGTGGTTTCGTTAACATCTGTAATTGCTCACTACATTTGCTGCATCATTATTTGCTACATATTGTACATGAAATAAGCCATTTGTAACTGGAAATGGTAGCAACATCTCTTTTGCTATCCACTTCAACAGTTAATAAATTACCTCCTAACTGTTTTTACAGTTCAGCATTAACAGGATTGGCCAGATAATGGTTAAGCTTGTTTGTGAAAAAATGCTCCATGAGTAGGAGATTTGTTCAGTTACAGAACAAGTTACTCTATAAAAAAAAAAAAGAAAATGTTTTTCACACCTTTTCCTAAAAGTGTCTTAATTGCATTGTGGCATAAACTGTAAAACTCTGCACTTAACTTGCACTTGATATTATATTTTTGATATTTGCTTCCCTCTTACAATTTTTGACTAATTTGACATTTCAGCAAGCCTATTACTTTTGTTGTATCTGCTTGAAACTCATACAGTTGATCTTTCTTGTTGTGAGCTTGTGTCGCTCTCTTGTTTTTGAATTGTCTCAAGTGTAGATTTTGTGAAATGCAGAACTGGAGCTATGGTACCTGTTGCTAATCATACTACGAACCCTCAGGGATCGGTGTAATCAGTATTGAAAGAGCCTACCCTTTAACCCTGGGGTCCAACCTCGGAACCACTACCACAGCTACACTTGCAGCCCTGGCTAGTCCAGGAGATAAGCTAGCAGCAGCCACACAGGTACACAGACACACACAGACACACACAGACACACACAGACACACACAGACACACACAGACACACGCACACAATTTTTCTTCATGTATCTCTGTATGGTGCTCAAACTGTCACAGTATCTCTTTCGGTCTCTCTCTACTTTCTATGTCTTTGCTCATGTCTCTCTCTCTCTGTCTTTCTCTCCGTCTATGTATCACTGTAAGTTGAACTTAACACACATATAAGTTTCAATAGCATTGTTAGTATAAACACTTTTCTGGTGAAATTAAGCACAAACTTAATACAAACAAGCAAACATGCAGTACCTGACCTTGGCAACCATAGCAACCACACAGTATCACCATGGCAACTATCCCAAACAAACTCATGATAATGTAACAACACCCTACTACTACGTAGAACCGCACAGAAACCACCTAGTGGCTAATGTAAAACTATTAACTGTGTCAGTCACCTTGTTAACCACACACATTTAGAAGGCTATTTTGCTAGCAGTCAAAACATCACAACCACTTAGCAAAATGTTCTGACACTATCACAGATGACTTAGAGAAAACATCTCGCAATATCATAGAAAGCACCTCTCTTTTAGCAACCACCTAGCAATGCTCTACCAACCATTTACCTACACCCTTTTTAAGATGCCATCCAAGTTAGTTTTCTCTTTGTGTGACTCTTTTGACAGCATCTTTTATCATCACCTCTGTGTTTGTTTCAGGTTGCCTTATGTCACTTTTTCTTTAACCTCCTTGGTATCCTGCTGTGGTATCCCATACCAGCCACCCGCTTACCCATACGTATGGCCTGTGCCCTTGGCAACTGCACTGCCAGGTATGAGAAACAAAATTTTGTTTTTAGTCACGACAAACAAAATTACAGTAGTAAGACCTTCAAGGAAAATCTAATTATGCCATTTACTGCCTTGTGGTTGTATGCCTCCGCCAACCAGTCAAGTTGCAGGAAATATGGGTACAACCTCCCCTTCCTGAGTTACAGCACTGAATAATGGCAAGACATGTTTCTGCAGAACATTATGTCACAGTGAAATTGAACTTTGATCGTATTTAAAATGTCATCACTTCATAATTTTAGTCTGTTAGACATTTGTATTAAATTGTGTCAAACTTAGCATATGTTTTGTGAGGTCACAGTGACCTTTGACCACCAAATTCTCATCAGTTCAGTGAGTCCAAGTGAATGTTTGAGCCAAATCTGAAGAAATTCCCTCAAGGCGTTATTGAGATATCGTGTTCACGAGCGCAAACAGACGTACAAAACAGATAACCCAAAAACATAATGATTCCAGCTCTGGCTGTCACTGGAGCGAAGGCATAACCAAACTGCATAATGGAGAGGGGATAAACTAACATAATTCACACATGCACAGATACCGCTGGTTTGCCGTTTTGTACCTTCTCCTCTGCTTCCTGCTACTCCCATCCCTCGTGTTTGCCCTGTCCATGGCTGGCTGGAAAGTGATGACTGGGATTGGCGTGCCAGTTGTTATGGTGATTATATCTGTTGCTACTGTAAACATGCTCCAGGCAAGGAGACCTCACTGTTTGCCACTCAGACTGAGGAACTGGGACTTCCTCCCTGTTTGGATGACTTCGTTGCAGCCCCTGGACAACCTCATCACCAGGGTGACCCTGTGGTGCAGGCAAGGGAGAGGTAAATATCTCAGCTACTATTACGATACAAACTCAAGCACTTTACTGTATGTTGTTGGCATTATGACACTAATCTACCTGAAATTCTTACCCTTTGCTGTGTGTTTCACTTCTAGGTTGGGGTTGTAAGGGAAATGATGTCCCAGTGGAGGTCATTTCTGTCAACCCTGAGAGAAAAACAAGGGAGAAATGGAAGCAGAATGCGAAAGCACAAGAGACTGATGAGAACTGGCAGAAACAAAGAGGACTCAGCAAACCTGGATGTTGTGATCTGCAATATAACAACAGAGACAAAACAACAAGCACCATGTCTTCAGAGAACAACATCTGCGACATGGGTGCTTTGGGCTCCATCAAGGAAAACACAGATTCAAACAATCGGGGCACTCAACTGATTAGCACTCACTTGTAGTGCTATTATCTTGTGTCTAAGGGGTGCCAGATGTTTCATGAATTTAAAGACCGGTTCATCAGTGAGAAAATGTTTTACAAAAACAAACAGAAAATGTAATTTCCAGGGCATCTGTAACTGGTTGCACCAACTCATTGCACTACAAGAGGAACTAGTGTAACTTTTGGGAAGGTGGTCTGCTTTCACATGAGTAAAGCATGAACAGTTAATCAATAGCTTGCCGGTTACTTACCACCATAAAAAGTGATAATTATTAACAGGCTAGCGGGAGGACTTTTTTAGAAGCTTAAGTCAAGTGTGAACAGGCAAATATAAATATAAAACATATATATAAGAAAAGACTTAAGCTTTGTTCATATATAGAATTAGAACATTAAGCAGTGCAGTACCTTCTCTTGTGTATGTAACTGGCAAATGTTTGAAGTCTAACATTGTTTTAATGTTGCTTTTTCCCCCTCATTGAAAAATAAAAAATCTATGTAGGAAAAAAGTGTGGAAAAGTAATTAATGATGTTAATGATCAACTGCTTAAAGTGAAGGAATACATGAATATTTCTGTTTTGTTTCTTATGTAAATAACCGTTTTAAGTGATTCATATGAACAAACGCAACTCTACACAGTTATGTTAAGGTGTATTAAAAGCAGAGATGAGTCTGTTAGAGTGTCAAACTGAGCACTGTGGCTGTGACAGAGAGAGAGAGAAAAAAAAAACTGAGAACTGTGGTGGTTAATTGTCAGTCACGCACATGGTTTCTGGTAAATTCTGAGTTCAGTCAGAGGCTGAGTTGAACACAAACACACAAACACATTTCCACAGAGAATGGTTGGCATATCTGTTGCTAGATAGGTTGTAGAAAAAAATAGTTGGTAGAGCGTATTTCGGATGACTTGGACATCTAAATTACTGCTGTAACTAATGATTGTTTTAATTACCAATTAATGTGCAAAAATATTTTCTTGATTAAAAGTTTGGTCTATTAAATGTCAAAATATGGTAAACAATGCCTGTCCTAGTTGAAGTCGTTAAATGTCTTGTTTTGTCCGACCACCTCAAGATATTCAGAAGATAATAGATATAGGGTTTATTAGCACTTTAGACGTAGAAAAGCAGAAAATCATTGCAATTTAGAAACTGGAAGTGGGGAACGCTTGTCATTTTTGCTTGAAAAATTACTCAAAATTAATTGATTCATAGAATGATTGCTTTTCTGTACATCAAGTTATTGTTACAGCTCTAATCCAGATTTTGGAGAAAGGCACCACCATGGTTGATAAAAATCTAGGACTGGAGCTCCTGATTCACTGTGTTCAGATAAGCTGCTTGAAATGACTCAGGCACCATCAAGATAAACTGACGCCCTTTTGAAGAGACAAGGGAGGAGACCAGTACCCACTACAGCGATCACATCTTCCAGCCAGACAAAAGCACACAGGACCCTTCTGGGAGGGAGAGCAAAAGATGGTTGTTGTCAAAATTAAAAACTGAAATACCCTGAAATACTCCCTGAAAAGCAAACATACACACACACAAACACAAAAGAATGTATTGGGGAAAAAAAGATCACACCTTCTCTGCTTTGTAACTTAATATGTCAAAGTAGTTCTACCTACTCGTTGAGGTGTGAAGAGACATGCGGAAGAACACTTTCTATTACAAAGTTGCTGATTTGGAAGGCAATGCTCTTTGTCTGTTCTGAGTATACAACATCGCTCTGATGTTGTTCTTTCTTATGAGATACATTTCTTGAAATGTTTTAGCTTACTTCTGAAAAAGTAAGCTAAAATTTTTCTTCCTAATTCCTGCTGTGTTGTTACAGCCACTGATTAACTGTTGTTACATTAAATCAAAAGATTATGGATAACTGTTATATCATTACACCATAAGAACATTCTTTTCAGTTAAGCAAAGAATGATACAATTTAATTCTTTACTGATTTATATTAGCAAATTAAACTCTTAGAGTATCACATGGTTGCCAGTCTGCTGTATTGTAATGTGGAATGCCAACTAACTGGACAGTTATGTCAAGCAAAAAAGGTTATGTCTATCTGCGTTTACACCAGACACAGCGAGTCCCACCTGGCCTGAGAGAGTTTCAAATGAGGTACCGTGACTGTGGCAGTGACAAAGAAAAAAACTGTGGTTTTTAACTGTCAGTCTCAACTCAAGATTTAATTTGGCACTTTCCATGTTGCCTGTGAGAAAGTTTAGTGATGCAGATGTTTCTAAGTAACATGCAGCATGTGGTTTTTAAATAAAAGGCTTGGCTATACAGTACATCGAGAGGCAGGAAATGTTTATATCCGCATTTGGTCTTTGCAGAAATGCACCTCTCAGCTGCAGGTTGGTTTAAAATGTGCATATAACATAATTAAGTGAATTATATAACAGGTCTCCATGTGTTGGAACCATTTGATTTTTAAAATGTGGAAGACAACTTCTTTCCCCACTTTGCCCTGCACCCATGCCTTTATTAACAAATTTTCTGCACTTAAACAATTATGACATTAGAAATTATGATAAGCAGTGTCCCTCAAACAGTATTTATCAGAGAAACTGGTGCCATTTGCACAAGAGAAATCAAAAGTGGATTCCCCTAAAATTCATACAGTATAGTGAGGAAGAGAACGTTGCTTTTTATTCAGCTTTCAGTGCTCTGCAGAACTATAGGGTTGATCACTACTGTCAGCTGTGGCCATTTCTACAGTGCTATTACAAACTAGCCTGTGACTTGACACTGTTACTAAAGATATTTTATTGCTCTCAGAGAATTTAGAAAAATAACATGAGTGAGAAGCAATAGCGTATAAAAAGCAGGACATTGGAAAAGATAACATAAAGCCTTAGCATGAACCTATAAAGTCCATCCATTTTCTTCCGCTTATCCTCTAGTAGGGTGGCGGGGGGGCTGGAGCCTATCCCAGCATCTTTTCGGGCAAGAGGCGGGGTACACCCTGGACAGTCCATCGCAGGGCAAACACATATAGACAGACAACCATTCACACTCACAGCCACACATACGGTCAATTTAGAGTATCCAATTAGCTTAGTCTCCATTTGCATGTCTTTGGACTGTGGGAGGAAGCCGGAGTACCCGGAGAGAACCCACACAGGCACGGGGAGAACATGCAAACTCCACACAGAAAGATCCCGCGACCGAGCCGGGACTCGAACCCAGAACTTTCTTGCTGTGAGGCGACAGCGCTAACCACTGCACCACCATGCAGCCAACCAGGCAAATCCTGGTAACTAAAAGTTTCCTGGTGATTTGAATTCCACCTGCTCAATCCAGATACACTTATGTAAAGATGAAATACCACACTTTCTGTTGCAGACAGTAGAACTGAGACGTGTGAAATTTGCCATTATGTATGGAGACTTTTGCTGTGTCCTCTCTGTATTAAATGTCTCTGTAGAGAGGCATTACAAGTAAAGGATATGGGCTATAATTGTCCAGTTTGCAGAATTTATTTTTATTGAAGCTGATATTTACTTAGTTGTATATCGTTTATACTAGGCCCCTGTCATATCATAATAACATACAGAAGACAAGGTTATGGCCCGTAATTACAATCTGTGTTTATAGTAGCTGATAATACATGTTATTATTTGTCAGAATATTTAATCTAATTACTATCAGATGTAAAATGTTCAGTTTATAACTGCAAAAGCAGAGAATCTTTTATTCATTGGCAAATTGTCAGCAACAATACAACCACTTCCTTGTTTCATATCACACAACATGATGACAAAAAGACAAGAGCCAAACTGTCTGTCAGAGGAAAATTCACAGGTCAGCTTTAAACAGCCACGAAGACGACATCACAGCATTGTGAATGTGGTGAGTAACGGTTTGTAATTTGAAGTAGATTAATTAAAGTGAGCAGAAACACTGTAGTTTAATTTTTTCCATGATTTTATAGTTTATATAAATAGAGTTTATAATTTCTGAGAGGGTTTAATTTTGTATCCCTTTTCTTCAACTGATTATGAAAATAAATAATCTACACATGCTATTCATATTGTTCATCTTAATTTTTTTCATAAAAATTGATTTTCTATCTTCAAACTAACAACTAACCTGAGGTTTAGTCATTTTATAGTATATGAATAAATAAAATTTAACATTTAAAATTTACTTTTAATTTATGTTTCAACAGACAAACAATGACTTCAACCTACATAATACTCGCTGTTCTGGCAACAGCAGCTCTGGGAAAAGGTACATTTCATTGCAAGTATGTTACTGCAGTCACCAGTATGTTATACTGACAATAATTCAGTTTGACAAAAAAAAATAAAAAATAAATAAATAAGACATTTACAAAAACAATCACTGGATTTATAGAAACCAATATAACATTCATTTAAAGTACTAGTTTCACAGGAAATTGTGATATATAATAATATAAAAATATAATGATATGATTAAATGTTGAAATGGTGTTGTACACTATTTCCACATTTCATTTTATTTGTATTTTACATTAAGCATTTCATTGTTTTCTTGCTTGTTTTTTAGGGTCTGTTGAATGCAATTTCTTAATACCTACTGGAGGTCAGCAGTGTTTTGGAGCAGTGGGGCAGTCGTTACTTTTTCATCTGCCAAATACATCAGATACAGAAATGAAGTTGACAAAGGACGAGAAACATCTGATTTTAAACGTCAAAAATCATAAAGTGATTCTGAATGAGGATTACATGAATCAGTCTGAAGGCTTCACCAGTGGAACATTAAACCTTGGCAACGCAATGAAGAAACACTCTGGAGACTATATGTTGGAAGAATTTAGATCTGATGGAGCTTTACTGAGAAAAGTTACTGTTCATCTAGAACTACAAGGTAGGTTAAATAAATAAATAAAAATAATGATGTGTCCGACACCAATTTTGGATGAAGAACAACATTAACACAAACATAAATATATGCATAAAAGGAAATAAGGTGGTGCATTAAACATAGATATCCACCATTACGGTATATATCCACACTTAAAAATACCTTCAGCTTAAAGATGATCTGTCATTATCTGAAATTGCAGCTCTGTGTTAAAGTCTACAAATGGACCATGCAATGAAACTCTAATCAGGGTTAAAAACAGAATTTGTCAAATTTTTTCTTGAATTATTTCTTTTCTTATGAATATTTTTTGGATTATTTTATAAGCTACACGCAGTACACTTGATTTCAAGGTTTTAAATGTATATATAGAAAAAATATATAATAAATACAACTGTAAAATAAATTAAGATTTCTTAGATTTCTTTCTATTTACATTTTGTGATAAGTAATTCCAATTTGACAAAATATATATGGTCATTATTTTTTCAGAAGCATTTTGCCTTTGTTAGACACAGCGGAGAGAGACAGGCCCTGTGATATGTGTCTTAAGCCACTGAACTAACAGAATTAACTTGAAAGAAAAGTAGTGACTGGATTTATTTGTTTAAACATGCTGATGAAAAACATGTGATAGAGGCAAGCTGATGAACTGGCCAT